GGTTTATTGGGTAATAATCCCAAAAGTCAAGGGAAATCTGTATAATGGGAAAACAGTGTGAACAAGACTCTGATCATTATGCAAAGTAACCAGCACACATCATTTGAAGTGACAGATATTCAAAAGTAGGTAACAGATATTTCACCAAATGGTACTAAACACTATCTCAATATCATTCTAGAAAATGTCTACTTTGCTTCAGTGTGTCAATAGCAGATATGCATAGGGTATGCGTGGGTATGTGTGTGAGGAACACTGCTGAATACCTACATAGCTCCATTTCTGAATAAATGGTGTTTATTATTGCGACTTTGTAATATACTTTAGTACACCAGTGACAAATACACTACATAAAGTTATTACTATATGGAATAAATAACTAAACCTTAGGAGGTTTCCAAGCTAGGCTTCACAATTAACTATCACATAACCTCTCTGAGCTAAGTGTCCTGATCTATAAAACAAGGATAATACCAACAAAGAGCTACTTCAAGAAATAAGCTTAGGCCCTCCCTGGTGAGACACGGGATCAAAGCGCAGCACTATGAAGCTATCTGCAGCCGCTGCGTGTAAGTTCTATCTCCAGCCAGGGAGGTGGCCCACAAGGCACAGCAGACCTCTCCTATCTCACCGGCTGCTCCCCTTGACAGTGTATTCTGGTTGATTTGCCTATTCTGCTCCCCACTCTGTCTCTGGTGAACCCTCTCACCCCCTGCACTTCGGCCCATGCCCCAGTTCTTGTGTGCATCAATAAATAAATCTTTAAAAAAAACAAACAAATATTTACAAGGAGTTATTACTGTATAAGGCCTCATGACTAGACACTGCAGAAGATAAAGCAGCTTTTAACTACTGTCCTCACGGAGGTTACAATCTTGAGAGGTTAAAATGAACATAAACTTAAGTAAATTCTGTGTTGCTTTGTATATTTACAGTTCTTCCTTAACTTAAAATGGAGTTATCCCAATCAAACCATTGTAAATTGAAAATATCCTAAGACAAAGATGTAATTTAATAAACCCAACCTACCAAATTGTCATTCCTTGGTCTAGTCTACATTAAACATGCTTCAAACATATTAGCCCACAGTTGGGTAACATCACCTAACACAAGCCTATTTTACAATAAAGTATTGACTATCTTATGTAATTTATTAATACTGTCCTAAAAGTGAAAAAGAACCAGTAGCACATCAGTTGTTACCCTGTGAGTGCATGGCTGACTGGGAGCTGGTTCGCCACTGCTACCCAGCATCACACAAGCGTTATCACATTGCTATCACTAGCCTGAGAAAAGAACAAAATTTAAAATGCAGTTTTCACACCATCATAAAGTCAAACCGTAAGTTGGAGACTGAATGTATAATATAGTCTCCCAGTGTATAAAAATTTATACCTAGTACTATGCTAGGAACTTAGCATATAAACAAGGAAGAAGCAATCCAAAGAATATAGTAATCAAATTTTATCAAATGTATTTTACCTCCAAAATATAGGAAGTTATTCAAGGTGCTGTTTATGGGCGGTAGGGGAGAGGAACGCAGAAGAAGGTAGATAGCAAGGGGAAAAGATTCACCTTTTGAATTTTTTTTTAAACTCATGCCTTAAAGAGCACTATTTCAATAATTTATATCACATTTCAAAAAAGCAATAGCTTACTATTTTAATGATATAAGCTAATGTAAAATAAAAACACAGTGCTCTGCCAGAGACGGTGTCCAAATCAGTAGTATTCTGATCTAGAGGCATTCAGAATGGTCCAGGGTTTGACAGACCTACCCTACCAAACAGCCTGCAACAAGACTAGACTGCCCTGAATCCCTGGTAATAGAACTGTTTACCTTTGTACAGTAAAGGTTGGGGGAAGCACCAAAATCTGCAGGTGGCATGTGCTCCACAGAATTCAAGGAGTTCATGCTGTGAGACCTAAAGTTCTTATGAGGCATCTAAAACAAAAAAGTGGTCAGCAGGTGTCTGGTACTCTATGTGCGTTAAGTCAAGATCAAGTGTGCTTTTCTTTTGGAGGAGCAGAAAACAGAATCAGAAAGCTAAACAAAAAAAAAATGAAACTTTTTTTAATAAATAAATCAAAAGGCTGTACCATCAGCAAAATGCTCTGTTTCAGAGGTGGGCAAATTACACCTTGCAGCCACTTTTATATGCCTGCAAGCTAAGAATGGCTTTTACAATTTTAGACTATTTTAAAAACACAACAAAGAATAGTGGACTGAGTATGTGGCCAGCAAAGCTCTGACAGAAAAAGCTTCCCAACTGCTACCCTTTTTTTTTTTTTTCATAAAAAAAAATTTTACATTTCTCATTAAATACCTTGATAGTTCTAAATTCACACGTAAGCAATTTATATGATTTCTCTCTCCACCACCTTGTCCAGTTGTCTCTTTACCTACTAGCCATTTTCTTCACGTACAAGTATTTTATTTACACAAATATTAATTACAATATACCATGGTAGCCAAAAACAAAAAGCAGAGGCTAAACACCTTTTGTTTAATAACAAGCATTTTCTAGCAATGAGTTTAAATTCCACAATGGGAAATTGGTAAATTGGGCCTGTGTCAGCCAGAACCTATGATTCATGTACAATATTGGAGAAGAGAAGAGACTACTAGTTCCCAGTTCTAAGTCAACAAATTGATTAATAGGATAGAATAATATTCGTACAGCTTCAACAAGAAGGATAAGACATTTATGAAATAGTGACTGAACTAAATTCACCGAGTGAGACTTGTGTGAATTGATGGTAAGTTTTCACCACTTACACCACATGAAATCAAGAAGGATTAATGACATATTTAAGATTTTCAGCAATGAAAAACTAAGGTGAAAAAAGGAAGCATGCTCAAAACATTAAGAGAAAAGAGACCAGGCAATCTAACGATACTACAGGGTGATTGGAAAAACCTGGAAAGCAATGGGAACCTATCAGATTAAAACATAACTAAGTTTTCATTTCAGTACAACTGGTAATATGTGATATAGGGTACAGAGAGCATGAAAAATCATCTCCCAAGACAAGCAACACAATAATGAAACATCCTCCTCCCTATACATGAGAATAGTGTGGAACTATCAGGACTAATTTGCAACTATCAAACCCTGACTCAAATTTTTATCTATTTTAATCATCCCAAGTGATTCTGCAGGAAAAAAAAAGCAAAATTCAATACACTAGTTTAAAGAAATGAAAGAGTAAAATTTGAGGAGGAGAGAGATCTTACAAACTCCAAAGTTTGCTAAAAAGTTTTAACAGGTCTCTAATAGATAAGAGTATTGATTCATTGTTAACCTGCATTAGATGAGAAACTAATCAGAAATACAAACTTTTTTTTTCCAAGAATACTTTTTTGGTCCTTTACTGTTAATCCCTAAAATACTAACCAGAATTCCAGATTACGAATACATTCAATATACACATATTTTTAGATGTCAATGCATTTAACGTTTTCTTCACAAACCTAACTTTCTGCATTTGCTTCATTACAATTTCTAATAATGAAATTAGCACTACAATACCAATACAATCAACAAATTAAAACTTGAATCACTAATTATATACAAATTACTTAACATGAGAAAAACCAGCCCAGAAAAAGTGGCTGTAAACCACTAGTATGCACTAGAGAAGTATTAATTCACACACAGGACTTATTAAGCATTGATACAGTGCATTTATATTTGCCATTGCTTCATAATCATTTTTAAGAGCTGTTTCTAGTCCAACAAAATCCATGAAGAACTTCACAGATGAGGAACCTAAACCCAGAGAGGAACCAAAGAAAACCAACTCTACTCTGGAGGAAATAACACCATTCTCTTATATTATGCCTTAGAAAAAAAGTGACTAGATCACTTTTCATCAGCAAGACAATATTGCAAAAAAAAAAAAAAAAAGGTCATGAATTAATGAGTGTGAAAAATAGTAAGGAAACACTGTATTGAATTGTCTCGAACAATGTGACTACTAAATCACTTGGGACCACTATATTTCATTATAAGGAAGCAAATGTTAAGCTTAAAGTGGCTTTAGAAAAGGCATTACTTTCTCTACTTGCTTAAAAATAAATAACCAAAGAAGCCCTGTCAAGCAAGCATAAAGTTAGGTGCTGTAATAATGAGCCAGGTCCACTACCGAAAAAGTAGAACCGAGTTTAAAAGCAGTGTGTGAAGAGGAAGTTCTGGAAGAACTCAGAATCTGCTGCTTAGCACGTTCATTCAATACATCTTTTTAGAAGATAATGGTTCTAACCAGAACTTGTGGTTTAATCAGTGCATATCTCAGCACCAGCAATAGATCACATCCAATGCTTTAGATACTAAAAACTTGAGCCGGCGCTAGATGTGGAAGAAAGTTCCTCCCTTGGCCCATTTAAACACGTTCATTTCTTTTATCTTGGTGTCACATCTGAACGCATAAAAAGAAAAAAACTAATCTCACCCCGAGCGCAGTCTGCCTGCAGACTTGTGCTGACCCCTGGTCTCGCCGTCAGATGAGCCCATAAATGCAATTCCCTAGTCAGAGCTAGACTCCTCAGCCAGCTAACAATCCTCGCCGGTAAATCAAATGCTCTTCCCGACCCCCTTCCTCCCATCTTCCCGGGCCAGCTCCCTGACCCACATCCTTATACCCTGACAGAGCCCCAAACTGAACCCTCAGTTCCAATATACTTCCGCCCCGTGACTCCCCAGTCACCGAGTTCACCCCAGCTCCCACCCCATCTTTGTCTCGTTACCCCAAACACACCATATCAACGTTCTCCCAAGTCACAACAGTAGCCCATCCCCCACCGTCGATCTTCCCCATTCCCGGCTCTGTCCCACCCCACGCCCCCCACCCCTTGGCCCCGTCACCCCAGCCCCTGGTCACCCCAGCCCTGCATGACCCGTCCCCTCCCCCAGCTTCCTCTGTCCCTTCCTTCTCTTCCCTCGGCCCCTCCGCCCACGCCCACCCCGGCTCCCACGGGTCTTCGGCAGGCCTTTCACCTTGTCCATGAGCTTCCAGCACTTCTCCACCATCTTCTTGTCCACGGTCCCCGGCGGGTGGGGGCTGAGGTGGTGGTGGTGGTGGTGCGGCTGGAAGGCGTCCTTCATGAGCCCGATCAGGCCGCCCGAGCCCGAGCCCCCGGAGCCGCCGCCGCCCGCGGCCCCAGAGGTCTTCTTCACGTTGCCGGCCATGGCCCGGGGGAGGTTGGGGGCCCAGCCGTGTCCACCGGCTCCGCTCGGCTTGGACCGGGGGAAAGAAGGAGGGCGTGAAGGAGGGGCCTCTCCCGGCCGCCGAAGCCGCCGCCGCCGCCGCCGCCGCCGCCGGCTGTCCGGGCGGAGGGAGGGGCGGCCGAGGGGAGGGGAGTGGGCGGTGCCGGGAGCGCGAGTCCGCGCGGCGCGTCCCTTCAGAGAGCGCGAGCTGGGGGGCGGGAGGAGGGCGCGGAGCTCGGGTAGCCGCAGCCGCGTCCCAACTGGGGAGCTACCATCCAGCACCACCCCCTCCCGAGTCACGGCTCCCGGAAAACCGCGACCAAGTTTCCGCGCCGCCTCCCCCGCCCCTACCTTCGGGGGCGGCCCGGGGCGGAGCCACACGGGGGCCCTTTGCACCTGCGCCCTCTGCTGGAGAAACGGGGGAAGGAAGGGGGCGGGGTCGAATTTCGAGTCTGCGCACTAGGCGGAAGCGGGGCCGTCCATGTTCCTTGTGGGAAGTACCTGGCGCTCCTCGAGTTTTTGAATTAAGACAGGTAGCAGTAGAAGAACTTTATCAGCAAGTCTTTCTCCCATGCCGGACAAATGTAGAAATTGAAGCTCTCCGCATTGTGGGAATAAAAAAAGGGAAGTCATTTCCCCACCCTCTGTGTTTTTAACCCCTCATTACGCCAGCACCAAGGACAGGAATGCGAATGTTGCAGATTGTTCAAGATCCTAAATAGACCCTAAGGACTTGGGATGCTCAGCCCAGGCCTCTTGCAGGTCCTTGAACTTCTAAAAAGAGAGCACTAAGCCACCACCAGCAGCAGCACCCCCACCCCTTTATTTTTTTCTTCTGAACATTAGTTCCTTTTCTGGGAATTGAGCTTGGACTTAAGATTGTCCTGCTCGGAGCATTGCGCTGGGCCTGCCCTCCCCCAGCAACTGTGAGACAGCTGTGAGGCTGGCTGCCCGAGGCGCTCCTCCCTAGGAACAGGAATGCCTTTCCCAGTCACTTCCACTTCTCTAATCTGAAAGGTTTTTGTTGGATCAACTTTAAAAAAAAAAAAAAAAACAGACTGAAAATGAATGAGACTGTTCCAATTAGAGGTAATCACTTTAAAAAAAAAAAAAAAAAAGGAACTTCCAAAGAAGGAAGTGACCTGCTCTAATGTGCTAATTCTGAGCCTCAGCTCTGGGGGTTTGCAGGCCCTTAAGTAAGTACACAGTTCCTCCTTAGATACCCCATCTGACTCTTCCACAATGCCCTTGTCTGATTAGGGAATTAACCTTATCAAGTACTCTTTTTTTGAGGGATGGGGGAGAGTGGAGAGGATTATCTCTGAATTCAAGAACCCTTCAGCCAGACATCCTTATCTTGCAATTCTGTAACTTTGAATTAAATGGATTATGGGGTCAGTATTGCCATTTCCTATAAGAATTTCCTTTAATCGGTTCCTACCTGGAAAGAGAATATCCCAATGGAAAAGAGGCAAAGTTCTGAGATAATTGTCAAAACTCCATCCCTAATGCCACCATCCTACCTGTAGTCCTGTTTTTCTCTCCCCTAGTCTATTGAAAATTTTTCCTCACAGTGTTCCTGTTCCCTCCAACCCATGCACCACCAGACTGTAGTTCTATTTTTTTTAAAAGATTTATTTATATATCCATACAGAACCAGGGTACAGGCCAGAGGTGCAGGGGTGGTGAGAGGATTCACCAGAGACAGAGTGGGGAGCAGAGCAGGCCGACTGACGAAGTACACTGCTGAGGGGAGCAGCGGGCAGGTCAGGAGAGGTTTGCCGCGTCATAGTCAGGAGAGGTTTGCCGCGTCATATGGGTCACCTCCGGGGCAGGGGATTGAACTCATGCTGAAGTGGCTTTAGCTTCTCAGTGCTGTGTTTTAACCTGTTGCGCCACACCACCAGGGAGGGCCCTCTTTTTTATTTTTTTTTTAAGATTTATTGATTTATGCATACAGAACTGGGGTGTAGGCCAGAGGTACAGGGGTAGTGAGAAGATTCATCAGAATGAAATGAGGAGCAGAACAATTAAATCTACAAAGTACACTGCTGAGGGGGCAGCGGGTGGGTCAGGAGAGATCTGCACCATGTGGGTAACCTCCAGGGCTGGCGGTTGAACTAGCACTGAAGTGGCTGCAGCTAGCTTGCAGTGCTGAGCTTTACCCTATTGCGCCACCAGGGAGGGCCCACACCAGACTGTAGTTCTAACAGTATCACTAAAAATCTCAAACACTGCCCATTGCCACCTGAATAAAGTTGGCAGTATGACAAACTCCAAGCTACAGCGACCTTGCAGTTTTCTATTATTCTATACAATATATGTCTTATCCTGATGATTTTAAAGTCATCAAATAGCACAATTCTTTCTTTTTTTTGAGCACATTCGCTGTGCCTGAAGTACTGCTAATGTCCAATCCATTCTTCAAAGCTCAACTCAAATATTGTCTTCCTTACCAAACATACAGCTGGAAATAAGTCTTCTGTAAATTTCCATAACCATTTATTTTTCATTCCTACCACATATTAATTTACACTATATCTTATCAACCTTAGGCTTCCAAAGTCCCTAACACAGCATAGTTTCACAAGGAAATTTTCCCCTTCTTATTGTCAAGCCCCAGATTTAACAGCATACAAGCAACAAATTAGCATTTTGAAATTGTGTGTGAGCTTGTCTAGGGCACCTACACATCTCTGGCTTGGTTTAGGGCTCCAACTTGTAGTTCCTTCAGTGTGTCTGTTCAGAATGGGACTGAATCATTTGTACTCCACTTCTGCTGCAGTAAACCATATTTTTTAAATATACAAATGACTTATCTCACATTTGAAGAAAGGAGAGTATTCTCGCCTCTAAATCGCCTCTAAAGAACTTCAGAGTTCTGCTGAAATGATCGCCCCTATTTTCACTTCCAAACTGAGGTTAGTTCATTTGAAGAGGTGAAATTATACCCCTAGAATATATATAATTATAAATCAATGAAAGTTCCCACAATTAAAAAAATTTGATATAAAAATTAAAAGATAAATAGAAGTTAGTGAAAAAAGAAAGAAAGGAAGAGTCACCTTTTTTTTTTTTTTTTGGAAGAGTCACCTTTTTGCAAACTTTTTTTTGGGGGGTTTATTTTCAAAGTGCACTAAAGATAGGATTGGATTTTTTATCACTCTGGGTTAATGTGGAACTGGCTCTATCTGTGTCACATCACATATTGCACTTTTCTTATTCTATTTCACCTTCACCCCAAACCACATCCTCATTTTGCACCTGAAAGTCGGTTGACTGAACATATTTGAAAAGTAAATGCTCTCTGAGGCATGATATGCTGTTTGTCTTCTGTAACCTCTGTCCTCAATTGCCACTCCCAACACCAACTAACAGACACTAATCTTTTCATGGAAAACACCCTCTTTCTAGATAAAGAGAAGGACTGAAGGATAGGGACGCAGACTTTACAGCACACCCAGGCAGAGAAAATGGGTTCTAGGAGAGAATAAATGAGAAATGTGCTTTAAGGTTAGGAGAAAAGTATTTTCCAGATTTGAAAAATGCCCAAAAGTTATCTCATTCTGAAATGTAGGAGCTCTAAGTGCCTCAAAGGTCAAGCCTGCTGTTTCTCTTTTCTCTGTAAAATGTCGAAGGGTCAAAGAAGTAACCTACAGACACCATGATAACGAATAAACATGGATAGGTCTCTGTCTGAATCTGCTTATTCCCCAGAGAATGTGGTGTTTTTGTTTTTTTTTTAATTCCCAGATTTCATGGCTATTCCTTCAGATCTGCTCCTGCAACAGGAAATTGACCACAAATGTTGGGAAGATTGTGATAGAAATATCTAAAAAAAAAAAGGTGTGCCTGTCTCTTAATCCACAAGGGGGAAAACCTTAAGGTTTTGCCATTTTCTTTCTAACCACTATGGTGCCCAAAAATCCAGATGACGAGGCTCCAGAATAGCACAAGGCTGGAAGGGTGGCCATGGACTACCAGACAGGGCAAGTCATTTGTCGCACCCCCTTCTCCAAATTCATTTTTCCAACCACTCATGACTCCAGCAGGATGCTAGAAGTTGTCCTCAAGATTGCACTCCAACATTGCCCATCCAATAATTTAAATACCAAAAGAAAAAACTTTCCAGTGGAAGTCGAGCATGTCCACTAGAGGGAGCCCCAACCAACTCAATGCTGCAGGGAGTCTCATGCAGGCCTTTTTCTGCAAATGAGTAACAGCAGGACTGGGGGAAAGACAATAAATTAAACATGAGAGAAGATAACCCTGTAAGTATCCTCATTGAAATCCAGACCTTTCAGGATTTACAAAATCAAATAAAGACCAGGTAACTGAGGCTGAGCAAAGGTCGTCATAACCAGAGAGGAGACTAGAACCTGGACCAGGACTCCTTTCTCTACCTTCGCATCCCTCTACATCAGCACACTGGGCCTGTGGATCCCCATTTCTCTGAAGTGGGAGACTCTCTCTTCTCCCTTTTTCTGCATTTCTTTCCCTCATACACAGTGGAATGTCTTATCAAAGGGGTGCTTCAGTTTTAAGACTAATGATGTCCTTTTGCCCATGGAACCCTGAGATGTAACTTGACCATAATGGCTACCATTGGTTCCTCTGTATCAGCCCAACAACATTGTTCCAGAGGCATTAATCTGTAATTTTAAGTCTCCAGATTTCAGGTTGTGCTACATGGAAGTAAATCATAACTGACTCCAAAGTCCTTTCTCCTCAAACTACACTAGGATTTCAGAATAAGGAAAAAATGACCCTCTGAGTCCTTGGTTATTTTATGCTTTGGGAACTGATCTAGCCTGTGAACTAATTCTATGTTTCGCAGTTGCCTGGACAACAAACAGTCTCTAGAAACCCAACCTTCCTGCTGTTAATCCTGCCCCCTTGACGGAAATTTGCCACCTGGATTGGCTCCCAGAAACCGGGCACCTCCTCAGCCTCCTAGCTGGTTGGCCCTTTTCTCTGTCCCTCCCCATGAGTGAGTTGCTCCCCAGGGAAACACAACAGAAGCAAGAGAGAGTCTTGCAAGTAGGAAGAGGTGGGGTAAGGATGGTGGGAAGAGACCAGGGGTTGAAATTTATTTTCTCCAAAAAAAAAAAGCTTAGACTGGTAGAGAGAAAGCTCTGTCCTCCCCGCTGACACAGCCTTACCTACGCTTCCAAAGAGGCCAAGAACAGAAGTGTCTGAAAAGTATAAAGAGACAGAGCTAGCGGCTCCTGGTTCAGTTTAGGAGTTGGGAAACTATCCCTATGTCCAGACCTAAACACATGTCCCTTCCCTCCTCCAGAACAGCAAGGAGATGCCACCTAAGGCCAAAAATAAAGGAATGAAAACTGGGGCACAGAAGAAAAAAAAGGATGCAGGTGCTGGTGAGTAGAACAGGTGGAGGGGTTCCCCCCAGCTTCCCCATGCTCTGACACCAAGACCAAGCAGAGGTCCTGCAGAGAGAATTCAGCCCCGTACAGGACAAGATGGGGTTGGCATGACCCTCACCCTCACATTCTTGCACCCATGTTCCATGGCCCTGGGACAGCATGGAAATCGACATTCACCCCTGACTTGCGCCCCTTCTGACTCTGAACCTTCCTTATATTTTCATATGTTGAGATTTATTTCCTCATTATTTAAGTCCCACTATGTTGGGCACTGAGGACAAAGTGGTGAACTAGGAGACTCTGCCATCGGCGGTCCTTCAGGGCAGGAGGGAAGTGAGAAAGCCTGGGAGCTTGACAAACTATGGTTCTGCCAACTTGCCAGGGCAGATGTGGAGGCCGAATCCAAGCATAGGCTGATACTGCTGGAAAAGGAACTGCTCCGAGACCACTTGGGTAAGAACAGAAGCTCTGAGCATTTCTGGGGGGTTGGGGGGGAGGGCTGGAGGGGTGGAGGTGCTGTGGGTAACTGAGTTGGCCTTTAACCATCTCCTCGAGGAAAGAGATTGTCTCTAGTTGGCATTGTAAGGAAGGGGTGGGCAGTGAGAGTTGATGAAGGTAGTTATTTTTTCTTCTTAATAATAAAGCTCCTGTGGCTTCTAGGGAAACCAAAACAAAACCTAGAGAGAGAATGAGAGGTTGGATGCCTGCTACCAGGTTTCCAAAGATGGGCAGACTCCATCAAGCCCATGGGGCCTGATTCCCCAGCAAGTCCTAAGGGTTGCCCTGGGACTGTTCACAGCTCTGCGGAGGGATGAGGCCCGCCGGGCCAGGGCTTCTGAAGACCAGTTGAAGCAGAGGTTGCAAGGGCTGGAGGCTGAACTGGAAAAGACCCGAAGTGAAGGGAAGGCCATATATGCAGGTATGTGGTTGGTCCAGTAGGTAGACAGGAGGCAAGAACCTGGAATGGGTCAACTAGGAGGACCAGGATACAAGGGAGGGAAATGAAGAGGGCTTTCTTCTATCACGCCTTGTCTCAGCCTGCCCAGCCCAGCACAAATCAGGCAGGGTCTGGAAGGAAGCAAAGGAGGGTTTCTGGGGTCCTAGGCAGGGGACTCCCAGGATGCCTGATGCCATGCTCTTCGTGAGTTACAGCATGCCAGCATGGTCTTCATCTCATTCTTCCCCTGGGACTGAATGGAAGAAAGGACTGGAATCCCCATCCGAAACTGGCATGGTGGGAGGGGCTCTGCATCCTCTCTGTCCCCCAGGATTTCAGAATCTCCCAACTTCTCAGAATCCCATGAGCCAGAAAGGGTCTATGACCCTGCCCCACTGGACCAAGAGGAGCCCTCCCTGCCCACAACTTCTTTTCTCCACCATTCCCTCTCCACCTGGTCCTGGGTGCCACTTGTCCCCACCACAGAGATGAGTCGTCAGTGCCAGGCCCTGCAAAAGGAGATGAGCACCCGCAACAGGCAGCTGGAAGAAGAAGTGACGGGCCTTCGGGAGCAGCTAGGTAGGCTCCCTATGCCCCAAGTCCTTCCTTTCCACAGGTCATGGTCAAGACACAACCTCAGGAGTGGACACGACAATCTGTTCTGGAAGGCTGTAATGTAGCATCTGTGTCACCTTCCCACTGACTTCCCCAGTGGGTGCTAGAGCACAGCATGCAAGATGGAAACATCTTTAGTTATAAATAAAGAAGACAGAACACTCACCCCATTTTCCCTCAGTGGTTCCAAATCCAGCTGTTACTCCCCACCATTGTCCTTTCTTTCAGGAGCAAAACATATCCCCTTTTAGTTTAGCTGATTTTTTATAACAAAACTAAGGGAAAATGTTTCATCTTATTTCCATATCTTCAAGGCCTACCACCTGGCAGGTCCTCAATAACTATTTGCTAAACAAATGAATAAACCCACCAAGCGAAAAGATTTCAAACAGAACAACGGAGTTTTCACTCTTTTCCCCTTGGTTACAGGATAGAGTTGAAACATCTATCACAGTTTTGAGCTCAAAGCTTTCTTAACCTAACAAGTTTCAGTTTAATTACAGATATCAGGAGTTGCTTGGCCATCACATAGGCTGTGAGTTCCATTCTTAATCTTTGGTCTATCTCAACAAATCCAATCAACAGTTCTTTTTTTTTTTTTTAAGTGTCTAAGTACAGGGGTGTAGACCAGAAGTCAAGGGGTTAAGAGGACTCAGAGACAGAGTAGGGAACAGAAGAGGCAGACTGACTGAAATACACTGCTGAGGGGAGCAGCAGAGAGACAGGAGAGGTCTGCTGCACCATCTGGGTGTCACCTCCCTGGCTGGGGATCAAACTCAGCCCATAGAAGTGATAGCACTAAGACCTAACCCTTTGGTCACCAAGGAAGCCCCAATCAACATTTCTTGAGCACCACCCATAAAAGAGGTGCTTCTCCAGACATGGGAACATTTAACTGTCACAGCCAGCCCATGAGGGATCTGTCGTTCTCTTTTTAAAGATTATGCAACTGAGGCTCAGGGAGAGACAGGCCTGAAGTCACACAGGTAGTAAGTGACAAGCAGACTTTGGACCCAGCTCTCCTGTCCCAAGTCTACTGCCCTCTCTACTATTCCTTACTGGTGAATGGACTTCAGTTCTTACAGGAATTACTCAAAAGCTGATGACCCTGGGGGTGAGGGGGAGGTCTGGAATAATCTCACTCAAATTCTGATTGGGGGACACCTTTGAAGACTCTGTTTTAAGAGTAGTGTGCACATATCTTGCCCTGTTTCTTCCTTCTGCCTTAGAGACAAGCCAGAGGGAAGCTAAGGCTGTACAGGAAGAGGCCGAACAGGCCCTTGGAGAGCGGGACAGGGCCGTGGCTCAGCTTCAGGCCTACGTGGCAGACATGGAGGCTAAGTATGAGGAAACCCTACAAGTAAGCACCACCCTCTGAAGCCCAGCCACCCCACTGACCATCACTGTCCATCCCCACCAACCTGCCAGTGTGTCAGTGACAGACCAGCAAGAGAAGCATCTCCACAGGGAGCTCTGCCTATCTTAAGGCTGTCTTTGCCAGGGCATACAACTGTGCCCCTCTACTACCACTGAGAAGTAGTTTTAAATATATATATATATATATTTATGCATATAAGAGCTGGGGTGTAGGCCAGGGGTGTTGGGGGGTGTAGGGTGAGAGGATTTACCAGAGACAGAGTGAGGAGCAGATGGACTGGAATACACTGCTGGGTGCTGAGGGGAGCAGTGGGCAGGGTAAGAGAGGTCTGCTGCGCCATGTGTGTTAGCTTCTTGGCCTGAGATTGAACTTGTGTGCAGTAGCTGCAGATAGTTTCATAATGCTGAGACTTAAACCCCTTGCGCTGCCAGGGAGGCCCTGAGAAATACTTTAAGATAACAGTTGAAGGGAAAGCTTTCAGATAACCTGGGGCACCCCTCACTCCTATCCTCTCCCTGTCTGGGTGTCTGCAGGACAGTCTGGACCGGCTCTTGGCCAAGGTGAGAGCTGTCAAGCCTCAGTGGAGTGGGGCTGTGCCGACCCTCCAGGCCAGGCACAGGGCACAGCTCCGCCAATTTGGGCTCAACCCCCTAGATCTTTGAGGTTGTAAGTTTCTAGTCTCTGGGTTCTCTAAGGCCTCTGCAATAAAGCTGTCTTGATGGAGAACTCAGCAGAACTGTGAGCTGTGGCTTTTTGGCTAAAATGAGTACTCTTATGAGGACATCTTGGTTCTGGGCTGACCCGTTACCCAAAGACCGAATGATAGAGAAGAAGAATGAGGTCTCAGACTCTCACCTAGAGAAATGAGACCCTATCCCTTGAGCCTGGGGCCCTTTTGGTCCCTTCCAGCCACTGCCTGCTCTGCCCTCCCACACATACACAGCCAGATTTATGAGAAAGGGCTATTTCTGTAACAGACCCAGAGTGACAAGGCACCAGCCTCCACAGATGGGAGGTAGAACTGATCTCCAGATTCTTGCTTTATACCCAAGAGTCCTAGAGTCATGCCCAAGGCAAGTTCCAGATATCTTCCTTCCTAGCCAGTGCCATCCGAAAAGAGAAAACCCTCTGTGCCTCTTCTGCTCTACAAGATCTCAGTACTGCTTCACTTCTGGGCAACTATGTGTGAGGCTTGCCCCGTACCAAGAAATTCTCCAGTTCTTCTGCGGATACCAGCAGCATCCTACAATCTGTCAGGCTGCTCTATCTGGAGAGAGCAGCAGAGCCCAGGGGTCAAGGGCTCAGTTGCACAACTCTACCACTCCTTCAGGTGCCAATTACAAGTCCAGGTTGTCATCTGCATTTCTGACAACTCGCTACAAATCAGATTCCCACCACCCACTTTTCAGTTCTGTCATTTGCTAGAAACACTCTCAGACTTCAGGCAAACAGTGTAGCTACCGGGTTCCCAGTCTAGGATAAAGGACACAACTCAGAGACAGCCAGATGGCAGAGATGCACAAGGAAGGCATGGACATGGCAGCTTCATGCCCTCACCAAGAGATCCCCCTTTCAGCACCTCCGTCTGATCAGCTCCCCCAACCCGGTCCATCCCTAGGGAGTTTTATGGAGCCTTCCTTGCTTAGGCATGGCTGATTAAGCCACTGGTCATTGGTGATTAATTCAACCTCCAGCCCCTCTCCCCTCCTGAGAGATTTGAGAGTGGGGTGGGGCTGAACATTCCAACTCTCTCATCATACATCTGGTTCCCCTGAAAATCAGTCCCCCATTCTTAGATGCGTCCCAAAGTCACTTCACTAACAACGTTAGGTACAATTGAAAGGAACGTGTCATGAATAACAAAAGACCTTTATTGCTGTTATTACTTAAAAATGACAGGGGTTTTGGGAGCACTGTGCCAGAAATGGGATGAAAACCAAATAGGTAGTTCTTATTACAAATTACAATATCATCTGTAAGGCACACAACTTCCTCTGGAGTCAAGAGGAAGCTCCCTACGGGCTGACCATACCCTATTCTTGGAGGTGGGCCCATGAGAAATGGGAAGACCTGGTAATCCTGTGATTGAAGGTGTCCAGGGTCCTAGAGTCCAGCTGCTTCTGGCTTAAGAGAGTACCCAACTCCTATCACCCCAGGCTAGAATGAAATCACTGGGTAGATTTGTGCAGCGCAGGTAAGTTCTATAGACGCTCCGAGGCCAGTGCCCCATCCTAAGTAGAGAGAGAAAGAAGACCATTCAGGGACCAGAGTCCCCTTTCCCTGCCCTCAACTACCATAGAATGCTCAGGAAAGGGCCGGTTCCAGGGGGCTTCTGCCATAAGGTCTAAAGTCCCACCTGCATGCCCCATACTCCTGCTCTGCCCTTTTTCCTGACCTCCCCCCGCCTCGTCCTCTGATAGTTCACAATCATCTGTTTCTTATTCCTCACCTCTTCAGACCCTGGAAAAATCCAGGCTTCCAAGCCCTGCTGAGACCTGGCAGCCAGTGTCAGGCACAAGGGTGGCTCCTCCTCAACCAGCTGCTGAAGCCTTTCCAGGTCTTTCTCTCCACTGACAGCATACCCATTCACCTCCAGAATTATGTCTCCTCTTTGCAGCCCAGCCCGGGCAGCTGAGCCTCCTAGGGTCACCTGTAGGGTATCAGGGACAATACAGAATATGAAACACCATGGAAAACCTTGCTGGTGTTCTAAGGGTCTTTGGTGGTGGGGGTGGGTGGGTAAGCAGGTGAAGGATGGGTCATCAGGAGGCAAATGATGGAAAGGACCCAAGGCCCATGGAGCATCAGTTACCTGGGAGACGAAGAGATGAGGCACACTGGCCACACAGCAGAGCCGGAAGCCATAACCACCGCCAGGCCCAGGGTGCAGTAGACACTGGCGGGAGCCACGTGGATCAGGACTCACAGTGGTAATATCAACCAGGGGGTCCCTGATCTCAACCAGAGTGGCTGAGCAGGTGTCCTGGGGAGAGGCAGGGTCCCCTGTGCTTTCCAAGAAGAGGAGTGGGGACAAGCGAACCTGGAAGCAGGCAGGTAGAACACACCAGTTGCTTCTCCCTCTACATGAGCCCTGTTCCATGCCCACCCCCACCCTAGCCCCTCCTGCTCAGCACGCACCATGCTGAAGAAGCGGTCAGCCTCTGGATCGACGACAGTGAGGGAGAGAGAAGAGCCCTGGGCCCGGATCCTGAACACTGTCTCCGTGTGGCCCAGCCCCTCCACGCTCTCCCCAGCCACAGCCACTAGCCGGTCCCCAGCCTGCATCCCGGCCTTGTCAGCTGGCAGACCTGGGTCCACCTCCCACAGGAACTGCCCTGGGACACAGATATCCTTACTGTTCCTTCCCCGCTTACCCCCAGGGCCAGCTTAGGCCATTGTGTACGCAGGGTGGGTGTCAGAAACCCACCGGGGTACACAGCATCAGGAAGCCAGGGCTGGGCTTGGACAGGGAGACCGCTTGTGTGCACCGAGAGGTGTCTGTAGTCACCTGTGTGCTCACCCCAGGCCTCCATTCCCTGCCACCACCGAGGGCCTTCCACTCACCGAGGCGACCTTCAAGGCCCTTCTCTTCCTTGAGTAGAAACCCAAAGCCCTGAGGCCCTTTCTCTAGGTTCAGACAGCGAGGCTTGGCGGGCAGTGCCCAGCCCTCTGCCAGCGGTGCAGCCAGCGGCAATCCCAGCCTTCGACACTCTTCCTCCACCTCTGGCCCTGCCACCAGCAGGGTCACCTGCTTTCCGCTCTGCCGAAGCTGTGAAAACCCAAAGGGGCAGCAGCATCAGCTGCCTGAGTGGGGAGAGGCATCCCCCTTGTCACTGCCCCATCGCCCAGGCCCAGGAAGGGAACATTAGGGAAGGAGAAAGAAGGCCTGCAACAAACTGGAAGGAGAGGATGGGGAAGGAGGTAGAGTAGCAGATCAGAGGAAGTGCGGGGGACGAGTCTGCTTCCTGAGACAGGCCCCGGCCCAACGGTAAGGATGAATGGGGACACCGGCACCATACCTTCTTGCTGAGTTGGTTATAAGAGAGTTTCTCCACACTGACCCCATTCACTTCTAGCAGTCGGGCCCCAGGGGGCACCCCTGCCCGCTCAGCTGCTCCTCCAGAACTCAGCACCAACCAGAAAGAACCCCGACCACCTGGAAGCAGGAAAAAAAAATGAAAACAAACAGGTTTCAGCCCACTTGCTGCCTGCTCAAAATAGGAGCTGAGACAGAAAGAGAAAGAAAAATACCGGATGGTTTCACTCATAGCAGGAGTATAAAGGACCAGGCGAGAAAATAACAAAAATAATGAACAACCATATACCAGAGACATTTTGCGGGGGGTGGAGTGGGGAATGGGATCAAAACGGGGTGGGGGGAGAGAAATGCACGGGATTATGGTGATGGCACATGGGTGACTTGGTGATGGGAAACCCACGGGGATTACAATTGAGATGGAAAAAAAAATGTACAAAATGATGTAAAAATAAACTTTTGTAATAAAAAAAAAAAAAATAGGGGCTGAGATCTGATCTTCCTGTCTTCGCTCCCTAGCCCCTAAACTCACCGTGGGTGACGCTGAAGCCAAAGCCGCCCTCATCTCTCACTACGTGGCACAGCCGGGGCCGGACACCTGGGCCAAGGGTAGGACAGAGGTGGACATCGCTCTGCTGATGGTGAGCCACATCATGTATGTGTTGTGCCAGCACCGTGAGCAGCACCCGAGGACCGCTGGCCCGGATGTGACGTACCGCCTAGACGGAGGCACGAGTGAGGCTGGGTCCTGGCCTTCTTGCCAACCCTCCTCCCTGGAAGCTGAATTTTTCACCATGGAACCAGCTCCCTAGATGCCTTCACCCAACCATTCTGATCTGGACACCCCTGCATCATGGGAAGTGGCGGGTGTGCCCCCCACATGCCTGGAAAGTAAACAAGCTTCTCTCCCTGAGGTGCCACACGGAGTCCCAGCCCAAGCTCACCACTGCATATTCTTCCTGTTCCACAACTTCACGGTTCACCCCCAGGATCCGGTCTCCTTCCCGAAGCCCCTGGCACTGGGCAGAAGTGCCTGGATCCACCCTGCATACCACAGACCCAGCGCTGCCCAGCCTCTGCTGCAGGTGAAAGCCAAAACTCCCGCCCTCCTCTTTGCTCAGCAGACAAAAGCGAGGCCGTGCCAAACTCTGAGGATCTGGAGAGAGGTGGGCAGCAGAAAGGGGAGGAGACGGGACATGGGCCACGTTCAGGGCACCATGTGCCTGGCAGACCCTGACCCTTTGTTAGGGCAGTGGGTGAGTGTCTACCCAGCTAGGTGTTGGGCCGTGGGGCTGAATACCATGTGGGCGAGAGTGGCTGGGACAGAAGGAAATGCCTAGACCCCTTCTCTGTCATTGTAGCTGCATCCCACCAAGACCCTGATAAGAGGGAGACAGAGTTGTGTTTACCAAACAGCGGGAGACTGTTTGGGGACCTTGGGGTATGTGTGGCTGGGGGTGGGGAGAATATGGATGTGATTGCCCAGGGGCACAAAGATTACCAGAAGGGCCCTGGTCTTCTGCCAGGGAGAGGACAGGATTATCAATGCCCAGCTTTGGGTTAAACTCAAACTTCCTGTAAGGAAACAAGAGACACAGGGAGGAGAAAGCTGACATCTGGACTTGAGTCCCCGCTCTATTTGAGGTGCTAATGGCAGATGATGAACCTCCCCACCTTTGACTCCGCCCTCCCCTTGCCCCAGCCCATCACAGAGGCACTTACGGAGTTAAGAAGGCTGTGTCCTGCAGATCTGCTGGGCGAAGAAGGAGTGAGAGGAGGAGGGACACATTCTCTTCCACTCCCAGATTCTTCTTCCATGATCATTAACAGGAAAGACTCAGGGGAACCCCCCCCCAAATTCTGAACTTGTCTCTACATTCTGCTCCAAAAGGCTCTTCCCTTCCCCTCCCTCTCCTGCCCCCTCCCAGTCCTTGGCACAGAAATCTGCTCAGATCAGTCCAGGGCGTGGACCAGGAAGAGAGGCGTCCACTCACCTCTCCTCTCTTAACTCCCAGCCTATTGGCCTCTGGACTCCAAGCCCCAAGTATGTCCTGTTAACCCCAAAACTGTAGCCTCCCACTCTGCCTCTGTCGGCCCTAAAGTCCCCTCCAGGAAGGGTTTCTCCTGGCTTCATACCTGTCGTTGCCTCCATAGTTGGAATACTGACCCAGTGCTTGGAATAAGGACAAGGTCCATGGAAAACAGCTGACCCTCCCACCTACCGGGCCACGTCCCGCCTCCTTAAAGACGCTGCCTTGGAAGCAGTAGGGTAATGGTTAACGGGAGGAGAATCTTATCCTCTGGACAAGTGTGCGTGTTCCTTCTGCCCCCATTCCTGGGCCCCAGCTTTCTTTGCAGACTCTGCTGCTGTCCAGGTGCCTCTATACTCAGAAAAGTTTGACTGCCACTACGGTGGCCCCAAGCCTGGGATAAGTATATAGGAGAGGGTGATGGGGATCCTAGGACCCCCACAGCTGGCCACACCCCCAGCCCTCACTGCCCCGAGAACCACATGCAACAGAAAGTGGTCAGGCAAGGAAGAGGCCGCGGTGACTGGAAGACACACGGATTTTATTAGCAGTAAGTCAGTGCGCATGCCCTTCAGGGCCACCAAGCATAGGTACCATTATGGCAAAGGGGGCATGGGAGAGCACCAATGAGAAGAGAGTGGCTGCGGGCATCCTTGGTGTCCACAGAGAGGTGTAAAGGCGGGGTGGGGGCTGGATGACAACACCTGGGGAGGCAGGCAGCAGTGTGCCCTCTGGTGGACAGTCAGAGGCTCCTGGAGGTGGAGAGGCAGGGATGGCGACGAGGCCATGGCCACAGGGCAATTTGGTCACCAACACGCCACGTCCTCCGGTCGCTCTAGCCAAAGGGAGAGGGGGCACGTTCTGTGTCTGGAAACCTCAGACTTGGGAACCCTGGTTGGACATGCCCAGGACAACTGGCACATTCCGTGCTATGCCCATTCCTTTACCGCCAGCCTGGGGGACCTTTCTAGAAGGAAGAACAAAAGCCAGGAGGCCATAGAAGAAAGAGGTTTGGGGGCAGGGATCATCCATCTAGGTGCATGCTACCACCGTCTCAGCTCCCAGGGCCTCCCAGTTGCTCCAGCAGGGCCTTGACCTCCCCCTCCACGCGCAGCAGCTGGGCCTTGCGCCAAGGATTGAGAGTGCTACTTCGGCTGGCTTCCAAATCCCGCAGCAGCAGGTCAAGGTGGCGCCGGACCCGGCCCCGATCCCAGCTGTTGAGGTTCCGCTGGACTTCACTGAGGATCACCGACCAGTAATCAGACACGGATGTCCCCTCTGTCGGTGACACCACAACCCGGGCACCACCTTCAGCAGTGGCCCCCAAGTCCCGCAGGAGCTGGCAGCCCTCTGAGCTCAGCTCATTGAAGTAGAGCCTAGAGGAGAGAAGAGTTGATGCCGTTTCTCAGGGTTCTTTGAAGAGGGGCAGCGGTGGCTAGAGAGGGGACTCACAGCTCCTCCCCTGACTACAGTAAGCCAGAGGCGGGGTGGCCAGTGGGAGGCAGGATGACACTAGAATTCAGTGGGGCCCTGGATGGCAGGAATTGGGCCACAAGGACCCCTGGAGAAGCAGTGGTGGGGAATGGGGTAGGTAAGGGCCAATCAGGGTTCAGAAGAAGCTCAATAAGGACTAATCAGAAGCCTGACTGACTCAGGCCTCCCCACACCCCAAGGGAAAAACTGGTGAGAGGGAAGGAGGACCTCGGGGCGGCGGGCGGAACGGCCCCAGGCTGGGAGGGGCACCAGGGACAGGACTCACTGTAGCAGCTCCAGGGAAGGGTGCTCTCGAGCAGCCTTGGCCAGTGCCAGGGCCGCTGCATCGCCAGCGCCATTGTAGGCCACGTTCAGCTCTTGTAGTCCTTGGCTACGGTCCAGCTGGGCAGCCAGCAGCTCCAGGCCCTCGTCCCCAAGCCCCGTGTGCAGCAGAGACAGGTGTGTGAGCGAGGTGTTTCCTGCCAGCCCCTCCAGCAGCAGGGCTACACCCTCTGCCGTTACTGGGTTATTGGACAACCTGCGGCCACAAACCCCCCGAGGCCGTGAGGGTCCAAAGCAGGTGATCTGTCCTGTGCATCAGGATTTGGGTCACAGGAGTGACAGCGTGGGGCAGAGACACCCTGGGCACAGAGACATCCAAGGAGGAGCGGGAACAGAGGGTGGCCAACGGGTGGGCCACACTTCCCTACCTCCTTCCAGTCTCCTTCACCGACTGCCTGTTCCCCTCTCCCATTCCTCTCCTTCCTCCTATTTCCCTACCTCCTTTTCTGCTCCCAAGACCCTGTTCCCCACCCTTCTCGCCCTCCCTTTCCTTCTTCCCTCACTTCAGCTGGAAGTTGCAAGCCCAGGTAACTTCTGGGTTCCCAGTAAACAAGTCAGCACTGAGGAGCATCAATCTAGTGCCCAGCACGAGGGTCATCCTTGGGAGGCAACAGGGGAAATCCTGGGAGGTAACAGTGGCACTGTGGCCAGGCAACCGACATGGGTGTCACTTCTCCCCTCTGCGTCCCCTCCCCACCCAGGATTTTAACTGCGTGAGTAGTTTTCTTAACATCGCTGCTGATCTTCTTCCCCCTGCCCTGCTGCCTGTACAAGGCCTGGGGAGCAGGGTGGAGGGTGGGCCGTGGGTGGGCCTCTGTGGGTAGGTAGAGTCAGGGAGCTCACCCTTGAGGTTAGCTCAAGGGATGGCCAGCGTTTAGCTCACAAGGATGGCCAGAGTCTCTCTCCACCCCGCTTGAGGGTCACTCACCACAAGGTGGCAACTTGGCACTGGTCATGCAGCAGCAGGTCTCGAAGGTCCCTGCAGGCCTCGGGGCCCAGGCTGTTGCGTTGCAAGCTAGAACAGGCAATAGCCAGGTCGGTGGGGGGGGAGCAAGGAAGGGGTTCAACATGGAGCCTGTCCATTCTCGCCCACTTTCTCACCATCCCACCACTTGCAGTCCACCCCAGCCCTCCCTTCCGTCGTCTTATCACCCCCACCCATACCAGGCTGCTTCACCCCACCCCGGGCCTTCCTCAGGACCTTTAGTTCCCCACACACCTTCTCTACCCCCCTCTGCACCTCCAACCCTCTCCTGTCTTCTTCAGGATGGGTCCTCACCTCAGCTTCCTGGCACGCAGGAGGACAGGCATGAGTGTGCGCAGCCCTGCAGGGTCCAGCTGGCAGGAGTCCAAGTTCACCTCGTCCAGAGCATGCTTTCCGCTGCCCAGCACAGTGGCCACCACTGTGCACTTGAGGGGTGACATGCGCACCCCAGTCAGGTTGAGCTGGCGCAGGGAGCTGAGCACCTCAGCAGAGAAGCGCTGATTCTGGAACTCATAGTGGAAGAAAAGGTGGTCAAGGAGCTCTGATGGGGGCAGCACCCGCCGGCCCATCTTGCCCAGCTTCTTCTTGATGGCCTGGGCGTTCTCCAGGGCATCCAGGTTCTTGATGGGGCAGCCAAGCTGAGCCAGCATAGCCCGGTTGTGAGCTGAGAGAAGCCCACCCATGAACATGGGGAAGAGCTCAAAGACCTCATCCTCGGGGGGCTCGTCTGGGTGGCGCCGGGGGCCCTCCACACCCAGGATGCTGGCACCTATCTGGTCCAGGACATCATCGTTGTTGTAGTCTTCCTCTCGGAACATCTCCAGCACCATGGCCTGGGCCACCGACTCCCGGCTCTTGCCCACCACGCGCCCAAACACTTTGGGCACCACCTGGGGAAAGAAGCAGGGAGCAGGTGCTGCAGCCTCCTGTGTGCCCATTCAGACTTCACGCAGCTCAGCGTGTGCTGCAGGACTGCTCCCGCCTCCTGACTGCTCTTGAGCTCCCAGCACGGCAGGCTCCTCACACCTCCGTCAGGCGCCACTTAATGACAGACACGTGCTGAAAATGTGCCGTTCAGCACTTTTGTCATGTGGGAACGTCACAGAACAGAATGAGACAGACCTAGGTGGTTCAGCCTAGCCCCCACCTGGCGAGAACGCCATCTCCTACGGAGTCCAGCGCAGACCCAGAGGGAGGGCGCACTACAAGGTATGGGACCACACCCCCCTGCTCGACAGGTCTGTACCTCCCCACTGCCCTGTAGAAATAAAATTTTTCATAATTGACCTCCAATTTGAACTCTCCAGAGTCATCTCTCAACATGTGTCTCATGCACTCCAGACGCTGGGAAGCCCCTTTCCCCACAGGCCCCACCTCCAGGCCAGGTGATGGCAGCGCATGGACGCATATCATGCATCCAGCTCGGCTCCATGCTAGGTGTCATGGCGCACTGGCGTGGTGGACATCACCACCAGGGCAGCCCAGACTTATGTCGCCCCTACTTCCGGGCCCACCATGACTGGACCCCTGCATGGTCACAGACGCGTGCATGGTCACAGACGCGTGCCCGTCACATGTTCCCTTCCTGGCCTTTCAGCTGTTCTCATTTTGGTGAACAGTGCCATGGCTTCTCTTCCCTCCGAGCGGTGTCCTTTTCCTGGAGAAGCCTCCCCCCGACTCCATGTCTTCCCCAGGCACACCAGGCAGGAATCATATCAAATGTCCTTTCCGCAGAGGCTCTCCTTAGTCCCCCAAATCAAGTCCTCCCCAGGGAGTTTGCATAGCACCTCGACTTGTCTCTGCAGATATCTGCCGAGCTTTTAAATCCTATGGTTACAGTGACGCACTGGTGTGTGGGCTGTACAGTCAGAAAGGGCCGAAGCCTGGGGTTTCTTAATTATTTTTTCCTCATAATCTTACCCATTGCCTGGCACACCACAGGCACTTAGCATTTGTTGAAGAAATGAGCATTTGGGAGATTTGCCGCATCATCTCCCATCCCTGCAATGTTCTGACAGAAAAGGAGGGGTCCATCCCTTTGGCTGTGAGCCACAGATTGTCTGCTGGTGCCTCCTCTAATGTCTGGTTTTGACTTTTGCAGTTTTGATGGGTGAGGTTCCTGCCCTGGAGTTGAGGGTGTCCCTCCCCCAACATTCACTGTTGACAAGATGAGAGAATGTCACCCTGTGAAGCTGATTCCACAGGATCATGAAGAAACAGATGGGACCAGTCCTCTGTTGGCAACCCGCCCTTCCACAGGGCCTGGGGGTGGGTCTAACAATTCCGACACATTCTCAAATAACCAAGGGGCTCTTGAGTCTCACAGGAGCGCACACCCTCTCCCTCCAATACAGACAAAGCGAGCACTCACCAAGGGGGTGGAGTGCCTCAGCAGCCGCCTCCCTGTCTGTGGTGTTGGCCTGAGAAGGGGTGGGCTGTCTGCACCTGTTTTTCCTTGTAAAAAAGTGCCTACTACACCCGGGTGACATGGTGATGTGAAACCCGCAGGGATTACAATTGAGATGGAAAAAAAAATGTACAAAATTATGTAAAAATAAACTGTTATAAAATTTTTTTTAAAAAGTGCCTACTAGATGCCAGGTCCTGAGGGTGAAGCCACTGAACCCCCATGTTAGGCCAATGATACAAATTAGATTATTATGCCCACTTAACAGAAGGAGTTTGAAGCACAGAGATGTTAAATAACTTCCCCAAAGACACCAGCTGGTAAGGGCAGCGCTTAGATGTGAACCCAAGTAGCTGTGTTATTGAATCCTGCTCTTAACCTTTCTGCTTTGCTTCCTATAAAAAGGAAAACTTGGGCCCACCCTGGAGGCACAGCGGGTTAAAGTGCAGCACTAAGAAGCTAAAGCCACTGCAGCATGAGTTCGCTCCCCATCCTGGAGGTGACCCACATGGCACGGCAGACCTCTCCTGACCCGCCCCCTGCTCCCCTCAGCAGTGTACTTCGTCAGTTGGCCTGTTCTGCTCCCCACTCTGTCTCTGGTGAATCCTCTCACCCACCACACCTCTGGCCTATACCCCAGCTCTGTATGCATAAATAAATAAATCTTAAAAAAAAAAAGGAAAACTTGTTGAAATTTTGTGAACAATGACCAGGACTCTGCCTCCTGAAGACCAGTTATTGAAACATTCCTGTGAGAACAGGGTTACCTAGCAAGGCACCATGACTTGACAGAAACACTCACAATGCATCAGTGATATTTGGCAGGAAGAGCACAGGATTCGGACTCACAAAACCTGTCTCCGGCCATGAACACATCGAACTCATCAGACTCACAACACCTGGCTCAGATCCCTGCTTTACCTGAGTGACCTGAGACAAGTTAGACTTCATGCACCTCAGTTTCCTCTTCTTTAAAAGGGATCATGGATAGTGTTTCGCGTGCAAAGCACCTTGCAGACAACAGGAAACACTGTTTACCCTCAAACACAGAGTGTGTCTGCCCTGCCAACAACACAGCCCTCAGGCCTATAATATGGTTTCTGGAGTGAACGTGCCCCCGGATGGACCGGATGGACCCTCCTAAGCCAATTACCAAAGCCATTTATCCTGCTGGTATAAATGAATCAAATAGCATCTGCTTTATAAACCTATCTCTGCTGATTTAGTTAGGATGAGTCATCCCTCTTGGAGTATAATCACTTTTGGGGGAACAGATACAATCAAGTTTCTGGACTGGGAGAGCAGAGGACAGACCTTGGACTGTAGTGACCCCTGTGTCCCAGTAACAGACTAGGAGCAGAGATGCTGACAGAAAACCATCTTCAGGGGGGCCACAGGGTTACTATCAAAGTCCTGTGACCTCAAACTAGCCTCCAAGTCTTCTCTCTCCCCTTCCTTAAGCCCAACCCCACTAACAGCCAGATTGCCCACATCTAAAACCAGAGCCAAGAGAAGAATTCACACTTATGCAGAGAGTGGCAGTTTCCTCTGGGGGAAGGAGCGAAGGTGAATGTTACCTTGAGCAGGTTGAAGAGCAGAGGCAGGGCCCGCAGAGGCAGCAGCTTGGCCACGATGCCCAGCACCACACTGACTTCCTCTCCGACGCGGCCCGTGATCTCAGCCACTTCCTTGCCCACCCGCTGCAGGGTGGTCTTATGCAAACCCAGCACGATGTAGAGGGCTGCTAGGTATTCCTGCATGGCGGGCACAGTGAACACAAAGGTGCCGAGGTGCCCTGGCTCCACGCAGGGGGCCAGAAAAAACCTGAGGGCATCCCGGCGAAAGACATGCAGCAGTTGAAACTCCTCTTCTGTCTTGATGCCAGCTTCGAGGCAGCCACGGACATCCTCCTCAGAGAAGTAGGTCTTGCGGGAAGACACCCCCTCGTAGGCCAGCTTGCCCATGGTTCGCGCTGCATAGGCCATCAGGGACTTCCTGGAGGAGGCAGTGCTGTCCAGCATTTCCCCACTGAAGTTCAGGCGCAGGAAACTGGTGTAGATGCTCGTGAGGGTCTGGCCTGCTGGGGTGGGGGTACTCAGGAAGTGCAAGGTGGCACAGACCAGCCAGCAATAGGAGGGCAGGAAGCAGGCGGCAGCGATCTGGTGGTGGCTCTCCAGGTTCCGCGAGAGCATCTGCACCAGGTTTTCACGCTGAGCCGGTGTGGCTGAGACACCAGCACCCCCAGGGCTGTGCCCACAGTCCGGCTGGTTGAGGCGAAGCTGGAAGTAAAGCTTCTGTAGGTTGGTGTCAGAGAAGCCGCAGATCTCACCATATCGGCCCACGTACTTGCTGGGGATGCAGCCGATGGCAGAAGGCCGGGTGGTCACCAGAATGCTGGCCTGGAAAGAATGTGGTGGGCTGGGAAGACCTGATGTCCTGATTGCCTCACACACACACCCCACCACCACCACCACCAAAGAAGAAAGAAGCCTCTAGGGACGTAATAGTGTTGGCCATAGTAGTTGTAACTACCAGGGAACACCTTCTGAGTGTCAAGGCACTGTGCTTTATCTGCAGGGACTCATTCGGATGAGTACAACTCAAAGGAAAAAGGAGACAGAAACTTGGGGAAGTTAGTGACTCGCTCAAGAAGGCACGTTGGGAAGTGAGGACCAGGGTCTACATTAACCTAGAGGCTGAGCTTCTACCCAATAAACACGTGACCCAGGACACCAAGACCTTAGGGGGCATGTCAGGGGTAGCCGGGGCAGGCTAGGGCAGGGCACTCACATCAGGCAGCATGTATTTGCGTAACAGGTTGACGACAATGGCAGCAGGCGCCACTGGCTCCCTCGGATCGCTGCAAAGCCCTGTTCCGGCCAACTGGAAGTCAAGGTTGAGCCGCTCCAGGCCATGGAGCACAAACAGCAAGCGGGATCCCGCAGCAGCCATGAGGGGCAGAATATCCTTCAGGGGTGTGTAGCGCTGAGCCACAAGTCGCCATAAAGAGGCCGGGGCAGGGCCCAGGGAGGACAGGTCCTCGCAGGAGAAGGGGATGAGCAGCTCAAATGCTGGCAGCTTCCCATGACACCAGTCCAGGACCATCTTGCGCACCAATGTGCTCTTGCCTGTGCCCACCGTCCCATAGAGCACCACGGTCTGCACCCGGCGCCCACAGGCATCGGGGTCAAAGAGCTGAGACAGGGCCAGTGGGGGCAGGCCCGCTGCAGGTGGCCGGTGCTCCAGGGCCAGCTCTGCTGCTGGGCGAAGCAACTCATCAGGGGTGCTCTCACGGATCACGGGGTCTACATGGACTGTGTCTAGGGCAAAGGTGGGGCCGAACTGCCGCTCTTCCCTGGGCAGTCGGATGAACCACTCAGTCAGGTTCTTGCGGTGCTGCCGTATAGCTTCTGGATGGGGAGGGTAGAGCCACAGGTCAGGAAAAGGGCCGGGAAGCTGCAGGAACTTAGGGCCGGTCAGGGTGATGTCTTAGGTCAGGCTGTGAATCAAGACATCACTAGGAGATGCTGGGGCCCAGGATGGTATGGGGCACACAGGGTTCCCTCAGAAAACACCTAGAAGGCTGCAACCCCTGTGGCAGAAAATGCGGAGCCACAGGATGAGTGGCGCTGAGCCTGGTGTGTGGTTTGCTGTGTGCCATCTTAACCAACTGTTGGGCCGATATGTTGTAGTAGGGACACTGAATCTCTCCCAGGGCTTTGTAGGTGGCATTGCAGGAAGGGATATAGGGAGATGAATGATGGGGTACGAGAGGGTGGGCCCACTGGTGGCTGGTGGCAGTGGATCCTCTATGCCTCCCTCTTCCTGCCTGCTGCTCCCTCCAGTTTTCCACTGTCTGTTTCCCACCTCCCCATCCTTAGCCAGTGCCTGAGCCTAAGCTTATTCAGAAGCAGCCAGTTCCTTTACCAGTTGCAGAGACACTCCGGAACAACTGTCCAAGCCTTCCTGACGGGGGATCACTGTTTGCTGAGTTTCCATGGTGGCGGATAAAGGCCCTGGGAACAGGAAGGAATGAGCTGGGGCTTAGTTACTGGGTTCAGCCCCTGCAGAGGCTCAGAGTTCAGACCTGTCTGAAAGGGTGTATTTCTGGTTTCCTGAGATCTAGGTCTGACCCTAGACACCCAAGACAAGTATTTTGTCTGACTCTCACCTCCTTCCCAGAGACTGAGGCCTTATTCCCAGACCTCAAGCCCCCAATTACTGACTGCCTGTCTGCACCTCAAGCCATCCCACTTCCCACAGGCCCTCCCTCTGGCTGATCACTGTGACTGTGCTGATAGATGGTATCAGCCAACTTCCTCTGAGGCCTGGTAGCTCACTCTACTGCCAAACTCCCCAGAGAGAACCAAAGTCCTGATCTTTCCCAGGCCACTCTGCTGTGCCCAGATGACACTGAGGACTCACCTGGAGGGCCCAAGGGGACACTCCCTCTCAGGCGGCCAACTCCAATGGGCCAGAAAGGGGATATATTCATCTACAAAGAGAAATGAGAAGGAGGAAATAGCACCTAGATCCCAGCCACAATTCCCCACCAATATATCGACCCCCATCTAAATGAATTCCCTGTGTGGGGACATAACATCATGGGCCGCCCTTTTAGAGCAGTTATACAAATTCATATTTCATTGTGTAATTATCTGATTAACATTCATCTCCACTCCCACCCTACCCCCATGAGAGCAGGGATCACATCTGCTCTTGTTCACAATTATGTGCGTAGAACATAGTACAGGGACTGGCACACAACAGGCACTCAATAAATATCTGCTAGCTGCAAAATGAAATCAGACAAATGTCCCTGGACTTCTGTAGCTACAGGCACTGTTGAAGATCATCTTAGGATGAACAAAAGGAAGTTCACCCTGGAGGTAAGTCACCCTGAGGTGACTTGCCCAAAGGCCACCAGCTAGTGGGGGCCAGAGCTGGAGCTGGCACACTTGGGGTCTGATCCCTGCTCTTTCAGTGTTACCATGTGAACGCAGAAGAGGAAAGGAGAGGTAGAACCCCTGCGTCCAGTTTACCTGCTGGCCGGCGAGCTCTTCCCAGGCCAAGGCCATGAGAGGCCCTGGGCAAATGGTGGCCCCATGTCATGGTCGGAGAGGTCAGAGCCTGGACGACTTAGCACACCACCTCTAGCCCCTGAAGGACGAATGGTGTAAATCGACACACATACTGCCACCCTTCATCTCCACCCCAAACCCCCTGTGCAGAATGAAGGAGAACGCAGACCTTTCCTTAAATGTCAGCCTCCCCCTCTCCTCTAGCCCTTGCCTGAGAGATCCCATTGTAAGTCCTGCCATCTACTGTCTCTTTCCTGAGGCTTTACACATGCCTTTCTCCTGAGACTAGTGAATTGTTTCGTTTGGTGTCTTTTATTATTTTGCTTGGCTGCCAGCAAACTAAGGTGAGAGCCCTGTGTTCATTCGGTTTTCTGAGCCTACATTTCCCCATAACAATGATTCACTCTCCTCTGAATCTGTTCCCTAACTATCAGGTCCTTTTTGCTGAATTTCGGTGGTTTTATCATTTTTGTCTACTCTGTGACTTTTATATAAGCTGCCTTTGAAGCTAGCATAAATAATAAATGAATGAATGAATGAATGAACTTGACATCTCCATGTAGAGATCTTCCCTAAACTGCAACATATATGCAGGTCTAAACTCATCAGGCCTCCTGGAGTAAATGTTACTTTACTAGGGATCTTCTCAGTCACACCATTTACACTAGAAACCCAATCTCTGTCTTCAAATCTTTCCCACCTACTCAAAACAGACCTACTGACTCCCCCCACTACTTTGCCAGTCTCTTTCTTTGCCCCATCCATACTGGCCCCTGTGCTAACTCACCTCCTGCGGGGCCTTCCAGGGACCCCCTTCTCCTTCCTTCCTGGCCTCTGCCTCCGTCTCACCCCATCCCAGCCGCCAAACCCTCTCTAAAATCCTAGGTTACTACAGAATCCAAACACCCAGCCCTCACCTCACCTCATTCACCGGGCTCACCAAATGTTTCTTAACTTTCTTAACCTTGTTCATATTTCTTCAGCTTGAAGTCACCACTCTCCCCTGTCAGAATCCTACCTGACTATTAAGACTGCTCAAATGGGGCTCTCCCTGGTGGTACAATGGGTTAAAGCACCGCATTATGAAGCTCTCAGAAGCCACAGCAATACAGGGAGCTGACCCACATGGGGCAGGAGACCTCTCCAGACCCGCCCATTGCTCCCCTAAGCAGTGTGCTCTGTCAGTCTGCCTGTTCTGCTGCTCACTCTGTCTCTGGTGAATCCGCTCACCCACCACACCTCTGGCCTGTACCCCAGTTCTGTAAGCATAAATAAATACATCTTAAAAAAAAAAAAAAAGACTGCTTAAATGTTCCCTTTCCTGGGAAGCCTGCTCCCTCTGAGCTCCCCTAAATAGAGCATGCTCATATTTGGCACTTGCCCTCCAGTGATGTGGCTCTTTAAGGGCGGGGCACATTTAGGGGAATGGCTGTACTGCCACCCAATAGAGGGGCACACAAGTCCTGAGAGCAGGAGGTGGGGAAGGGTTAAGGGACTGCTGTGGAAACCTCAGGAAACTAGCTCAGAGGTGTAAGATCAGGTCCTGGCCCACTGAGTCAAAGAGAGGGGATGGGGTGTTGAGAGAAATTCTCTAAAGATCACAACCCGTCTCCAGTGCAGTGGGCTAAGGACAGGGCTGTGCCCCCTCCTGCCACCCCGCACCCCAAACCAGGTTCCTGCAGCCCTCCTGATTCCAGCTGACTTTAGAACACAATGGCTCTGGGGGGAGGCTGCCAGAATGTCCAACACTCAGCACACTGCTCTTTCTAGACGACCGTGCTGACGAAACTCCCAGTCAAGTCGTGCCCCGCACCCCCACCCTATGCCTGCTCCCCGCCTCCACCGGGGATCGGCCCGCCCCACCGGGGATGGGGATCGAGGGGCTACAGAACTGGCCGGGCCTTTACCAACTGCTGCCCACAGTCACCGGCCGGCGTCTCCCGCTGGCTCCCAGAGGCCTCGGCTCCCCGCGGAGCGGCGCTTCCTGCTCGCCTCCGCCCGCCCTCCCGCCTGCGCGCAGCCCTGCCCGCCCTGGCATCCGGCCGGCCGCGGCGGGCCCCGGAGGACGAGCTGGCGCTCGCTCCGGCCGTGAAGGGTCCTGGGAGGAGACAGGCTGCCCGCGGGGCTGGGGCCAGGAGAGCAGGCGGGGCGGGGGCTCTTCCCCACCTGTCCCGCGGCCAGCCCCGCCCTCCCGGGTACTGTCCTCAGACTTCCGCCGCGCCCGTTCTACAGATAAAGGAACTGCCGCTCAGAAAGGAGACCCAACTGGGCAGTTGAAGAGCCTGGGCCGCAAGCTTCTGCCTAGGCCACCCTGTCTCGAGCCTGGTTTTTCCTGAGGTACCTGGCCATCCCCAGGAGGTTTTTCCCTCTGTGCCTCTTCACCCACCCAGCCTACCTCCTGGCAGTCCTGGGCCAGGTCCTCCCTTTTGTACCTGGCTCTCTTCAGACCCAGACCCCTGTGTGTGACTTCTGATAACTTGGTCACAGAGGGAGTATGAATGGGGGCTGAGGAACAGACCCCGCCTCAGCCTGCTCTTTTTGTCTGGCTCCCCATCATCGGCTAGCCTTGGGGCTTCCTGGTCCTCCAAGCCCCCGCCCTCATCCCCAGGCACACCCACCTCCCACAGCCAGGGCACACCTCTAAAGCAATCTTAGGTGTGCAGTGTGCACCAAACAGATGTGCAGTTGGGAGCTCCTAGTGAGGTCGTTGGGCAAGGCTGGGGAGAAGGCCTGGCCAGCTCTCCCTCCAGACTGGAGACAGTGTTTCTTGTATAGGTGTAGATGTTTGTTCATTCACTGAATAAAGCCCCACTAGTATTGCGCAACCAGGGCAACACAGGCAGAGACCAGGCACAGCATTTCCTCTCCAGGACACAGGATGATGGCACTTCAGAGGCTATCGAAAGCCTTAGGAAAGACTGGAAAAGGAAGTTATAACTGACTGTAAGGGCCTCTGCCAGAGTGGTGAAGGTTGAAGGGGACCTCCCTGGTGGCGCAGCGGGGTTAAAGCACAGCATTGCACTGCTTCAGTGTGAGTTCAATCCCGGGCCCCAGAGCTGACCCACATGGCCCAGCAGACCTCTCCCGCTGGACAGCTGCTCCCCTCAGCAGTGTACTTCGTCGATCTGCCTGTTCTGCTCCCCACTCTGTCTCTGGTGAATCCTCTCACTGCCCCAGAACCTCTGGCCTGTACCCCAGTTCTAGATGAATAAATAAAAAAAAAAAAGTCAGGAGGGCCTCCCTGGTTAGGGGTCAAAGAAAGTGCAATCAAGATATCACCAGCCACTGCAGCACAAGAATTTGATCCCCAGCCAGGGAGCTGACCCCTGGGGTGCAGCAGACCTCTCCCAACCTGCCCACTGCGCCCCTCAGCCGTGTATTTCAGTGGATCTGCCTGTTCTGCCCCCTTCTCTCACTGGTGACTCCGCTCACCCGCCACACCTCTGGCCTACACCCCAGTTATTGTATGCATAAATAAATAATTTTTTTTTTTTAAATCCAGGGAAAGGAAAGGTATTCCAAGCAGCAAATAGCACAATTCTTAAAAGGAAGTCTCATAGAATGGGATGGGGAGGATGGAGTTAGTGGAAGTGCAGGGGTGACATTTCCAGTCAGAGGGGCTTCACTTCATTTTCCTAATCATGTGAGCCAGGCAAGCTCCTGGCTGCAGTTTTCTGCACAACTCAGAGCAAGCTGCTTATCCCCTTCCTTTTCCAAGAGTATGACAGCCATGTAGGTTTTGTTAATAATATATAATTTGACTGGCCTCTTACAGACAGAAGTACTGAGTCATGCTGTGTGTATGTGTTCTGTCGTCTGACCTTAGAATGGGGAGCCAGGCACTCTAGCAAGGTGCCCTCCAGCACCTTGCATGGCACTGACACAAAAGTTGCTGGGGTTGAAGATAATCTCTGTGCCCACGAGGACCAGGCTGGCATTCAGGGAGGGTGGGGGTTTCTGAACATGAGTGTGGATGGGCAGAGAGCATTTGCACCCACCAGTGCAGGTCCCCAGGACCCGTGGGAGGTATTTCTGGTGGTTCACAGTGCCAAGAAAGAACTTGTTAGAGTCTCTTCTCCAAGCCTCAATTTTCTCTCTATAAAAGGAGGAGATGATAATACTCATCCTAGCAGCCTTCTGAGGTTCCTGTAAGAATCAAAAGAGCTTTCTTTGCAAATATGTAAGTCACTCTACAAATGTCTGTGCCTGAATGGCCTTGCTGGCTCCTGAGTGACTGTCTCCTTTAGCTATTGATATTTCAATCTTCCAGGAGAATTTGCATTTTAAGAGAGAAAGCACAAAAGTGAAAAATCTGATAAACTGTTTAATGGTGGGTTCTTGTTCTCCCTGACTTGTGAGGAGCCATCAGCTGGCATTACTCCAGGGAGAAAGTAGCACCTAGAATGCTCCAGAAAGCTAACTAGAATTCCAGGAGCTGGAAGCTTCCCACTTTACATTCCCACCCTATCTCCATAAGAAACAAAGTCCATCTCTCCAGTCAAACCCCCAATCAGACACAGGCTGGACCCTAATCAAGCACTTAGCTCTGATTGCAACACAGTTAGAATGCTCCAGGTTTCTGGCTTGGTTGACACCAGTCCCCTTCTTCACTCCCCAAGTTCAGAAGGAAACTTTCAGAAGGTTGGGTTGGTTATCCTGCCACCAGCCCTCAAGGCCTGTTGGACATTCACTTACTCCTAACCTCAGGCCACCAGATCCATCTGCATTTCTCATGGCTTGTAGCTCAGCCCTGGAAGGAAATAGCTCAGTGGGAAAGAAGAGTAGAAAAAGGGAAGATGGAGTGAGCGCAGTAAGGTCTTTCCCATTCTCAGCCTGACGAGGCTCCAGGGCCTATCCTGAATTTCACTGCCTTTCCTGGTCCTCACACACAAACACACACGTGCACAAGCACATACACAGAGGCACAAGTAGGGTTCAGTGGGTTCTGAAGAGCCACGTATCACTCAGGCAAGAACACCCCCGGCAACCTATACAGAACACTATGAACAAGCAATGCCAAGAATTGAGAGTCTGGACACAGAAGACCTGGTTTCCAGGCCAGATTCAGTGGCCACTACTGAAGGTCTTTGACAAGCTACTTAACCCAAGTCTCCATTCTCTCATCTACAAAATGGGTGTCACGGGGAGAATGCCAGGTTGGCATGGGGCTCCCTTGAGGTAAGGAACATGAAACAGTTGCAAGATGAAGTGCATGACACGATGCTTCGTAAGATATACATCCAGGGGCCTCCCGGTGGCACAGGGGTTAAAGCAGAACACTATGATGCTATCTGCAGCTGCTGCACATAAGTTCGATCCCCGGCCAGGGAGGAGACCCACATGACACAACAGACCTCTCCTGTCTCACCTACTGCTCCCATCAGCAGGGTATTTCAGTAGATTCACCTGTTCTGATCCCCACTCTGTCTCTGGTGAATCCTCTCACCCCCCCCCACCCCCCGCACCTCTGACCTGTAGCTCAGCTCTTGATGCATAAATAAATCAAACTTGAAAAAAAAAAAAAAAGATACACATCCACTAGCTTGACATGTATGTAGGACTTGCCCTCTCCTCCACAGGCTTCCTAAACCTCACAGCCATCTTGCCAGCCCTCACAGCCATGGTAGGCCCCCAGGTGCCAGGCCCCCACATATTTACACATTGTATACTGTATAAATATAGGTTTTATTAGTAATGGGTGAAATCCCACAAATACAACTGGCATCTCTGTGATGGGGAGAATCCGTGGCAGGGTGAGGGTAGGTAGAGAGTTAATGTGTACAGCAACAGAGGGGGAAAGAGCCCTGGGGGAGGGGAAATCAGAAGTAGAGTAAGCCTGGACCCACCAGGAAGTCAGACGTGCTTGGGCATGTCTGGCACCTGGTGCTCAGGGCATGGTGCCCAGGGTCTACCTTGGCTGACTGACGGGAAGGGGATAGAGAGACAGAGACAGGAGTTTGAATGAGCATCGAGCAGCTGGGGAGGGGGAGGGGCGAGATTGCCAGCTGGATGCACAAAAGAAGGGCCATGGGGTGGCGGTGGCCAAGGCCAACCTATGCCCGCGCTTGTGCTTGTGTTGCGTCCTGCGCCCCAGGGAGCTAGTGCCCTGTGCCACCCCTGGCTTGGGAGGGAGGGAAGGTTGGGGGGAGACACCTGCAGGTCTTGGAGACCCTGGGCAGCACCATCCTCATCCTTAGAGTCTAAGATGGATCCCCAGGAGAAGGTTGGCACCGCCCTCCCCGCAGCACCCGCCACCACCACCATGCCGCCGTCACTTCTCCTCTGGGTTGCAGGGGACAGCGAGTGTGTGAAGGGCTAAGATTGCCTGTTCGCAATTATGTGCCTGTAGCTCTGGAGAGGAAAGGGAGCTTTGCAGGACCATGAGTCAGGAGCAGCAAGAAAGGAGGTGTGGATCTTCTCCCACTCACCCCCAGAATAAAGTGCATTCTCTAGTTCCAGTGGCAGGTGGGAGAGAAACACAGACATTATTGCAGAAGTGCCACCTGGCCCCATCCCCACCACAGGTGATAGGGAGGGGGACAGGGGCTTCCATGGCCCCAGGCCTTCCCAATCCCCAGGATTGGGAGAGATGACCCACCCAGACAGAAAACCCAGCTTCTGTCCCAGCAGATTGTCCAAATCTGTCAGAGTCTGGGGGTGGGGTGAAGGTGAGGAGGAGGAAGAGACTTCCAGAGTCCTTCCCTGCTCCAATCCAACATTCAAATAGGACTTCCAGGGGACCCTACCAGGGTCCAGCCCTGGAACCCCTACCTTATAACAGCCCAGTTTACAAACACTTGTGTGGTGGGGACCCCCGAGGGGGCCACTTTGGTCAGTTGTAAGTGGGTGCCTGAAGAGCCGGGGGCTCCCAGGCAGACAACAGAGAAGGGTGCCGAGGGCAAGAAGGAGGTGGCCGCCTCGTGGTGTTGGCATGCAGGTGTTGGAGAGGAGGGAGGAAGCTACAAACTGCGTCGACTTGGGAAGACTCCTGGCCATGGTGGGGAGCGCTGGACCCCCGCACCCAGGGCTCAGGCTGGGAGAGCAGTCCGACAGCCTGCCCGGCAGAGGGGTCAGAGAGGGGAGGCGGTTGCACCAGCAACCAGTGCCCAAGTCTACAAGGTTAAAACAGTCCCAAAGGGCTGGGGTTAGGGGCTTCCTGCTTCAGGGACTGGGGCACAGGCCATGGGCAAGGCTCTATCTCTCAGACTTGACCCGGTAACGGAGCACAAGGTAAGCCAGCAGCCGCAGGGCCAGAAAGAAGATGCCCAAGACCAGGAAGTCCATGTAGAGCTTGGCGTCCTCCACATCCAGTGCTCGAAGGATAGTCTGTGGCTTCCGGAATGGGCAGCGCTCATCCAAGCAGGTCAGGTCACCTCGCTCCATGCCATAGATGGTCAGAATCACACCCTCAAAGCCATACCTAGGGGCGCAGGGGCATCAGAGCAGACGACACAGCTATGTGGGGGTCAGTGCTCCATGGAACAGGATTGCAGCTGCAGCTCCCACCCCAGAGACACGGCCTCCTGCTGGGGTCAGCAGGGAAGATGGGGAGGAATGGGGCACTGACCTGACATAGGAGAGGTAGGAACTCCACTGCAAATAAGTGGGGATGGTCTTGAAGCTGACAAAGAAACCGGAAAACAAGAGGACAGGGATGGCTGTGACCGGGCCCACAAAGGTGGCCACCTGGAAGGAGGGAAAGGGCCATCACAGGGTGACCAGGACAGATCCAGGACTGGGGTGGCAGCGGGGCTCCCCACCCCACTCCACATGCCAGTCCCTGCTCCCTCTCACCTGACCCCAGCCCGGCCTGCCAGCCCTCCTACCTGTAAGGAGTTAGAGGCGGCGCCGATCAGCAGCCCCAAGGACTGGGCCACCAGGGCCGTGGCGCTGGCTAGGGCTGAGAAGAGCAGGAAGCGGCTGGTCTCAGCTGGCTGGCCTGTCATCCAGTACATGATGCTGCAGTACACCACCGGGCACACCACCTGGGGAGCCGGCACAGGGCTGGCAGTGGGCCGTGAGCCAGGGCCACCCTGGCCAAGACCCTCCACTCCACCCAGTCCAGAGCCTCTAAAACAGCCATTGCTGTCGCTATCGTGTCCTTGCTTAATTCTGCTTCCACCCCTCGCTCCTTCTCGCCCCCAGTGGACGCATGTCCCCTCCCTCCAGGGCTATATGAACCTTGTTTGTCTTCCAGGCCCATCTCTCCCTTTAGGCGCACCCTGGCCAGTGTGGGCAAATGACTTCTCTGTCCTCTGAGCTCCTAAAGGCCTTCTCCACCTGGACCAGCGTATTCCCTATATTGTTCATTCATTAGCTCGACATACACGAGCATTCTGCCTGCCTGTGAGCTGCCGGCTCCTGAAGGGCAGGGACTGAGCCCACAGTGGTCAGCTGGGCAGGTTGCTGCCCGCCCAGGAGCGCTCACAGCCAGCTCCTCTGTGCTCTCCTCACTAAGCGTGCACAGCGTCTACCCCAAGGAAGGGACACCTTTTCCCAATTTGCATACAGGTGCCCTGTGGATTACTGGTGGTTCTGGTGCTCTGAACAGGGTGGTGGCTGCAAGAACAAGCAACAAAAAGCAGCTGACATTTATAGGGTACTCAGTAAGTACCGCTTGCTATTCTAAGGAATTTACATGTATGAACTCACTTCATTCTCACAAGTAATCCAGAGGCAGCTACTGCTGTCAGCCCATTTTATAGATGGGACACTGAGGAAAAGTGAGATTAGGTAACTTAACCACAACAAGCAGGAGTAAGGCTCCAGAGCTATACTTTTCTCTGTTGCCTCAAAAAGATTTTACCGTCATTTGCAGGGTTATTATTTTCATCATTTGTTCCCATTAGAACATAAATTCCACAGACTCAAGGCTTTATGGGTCTTGTTCACGGCTGTGTCCTTGTGCCTGGCACAGAGCCTGACGCATGGCAGGTACCCCACACTCATGGCTAAGTGAAGGGAAGGAGCGGATGGGTGGTGACAAAGTTGGGGGAAGCAGGCAAGCAAGAATGGAAGAAATAAGACAGAGGGAGGCGGTGGGGGGAGGAATATACCCACCTGGAAGGGTACATCGGCCATGGTCTTGGCCAGGTAATATGCTTTGAGGCTGTACCAGTAGTTGAGGTGCTCCCTCATGAAGACTGCCATCTCTAAGGGGACTGGGGACACAGGCAGATCAGGCCCAGCTGCCCCACACCCTGTCCCCTACCCCAGGCCCCAGCTCCCACACCCCATCCCCGACACCCCAAATCCAGGGCAGCTCAGCTCACAGGTGAGCACGGTCGGCATGAGGCCCGCGAACATGAGAAACAGCATGGAAAAGAAGAGGCAGCCGGTGTTGTTGAAGACCTTGCTGGCATCGTCGCCAATGTGCAGGTAGAGAAGACCAATGAGCACGCCAATCAGCACGTGGGACACAAACCGCAGGTGGGTCAGGACCTGTGTGAGGGGGTCGCCAACCTGTGTGAGGTGAGGGGTGGGGTCGTAGGCCAGGGAGGGGCAGGTCACACTGGAGAGTGGGAATTTGAGTTGCTCTTGCAGACGCATAGACCCACAGGTGCACAGGGGGGCCTGCTGGGAGGGGACCCACGCCCATCCCAGCTGCTAGGATCCTACACCCCCAAAAGCCCAGCCCATACCAGCCTCCTTTCCTCCAACTTGAGGCCTCACCGTGTCCCTGAGAATGGACAAGAAGGTCCTCTTGAATAGGATGCAGAACTGTGTGAGGGTGCTGGTGGCGAAGGAGTGGCTTTCAATGGGATCCACTTCCTGGGGGGTAGGAATCAGATCAGGTGAGCCTCCCCCACCCACGTGCACCCAACTCAGTGAATGGGAACCCCTGGAACCCTTCTCTAGGTCTACTGAGGGAGAAGCCCTCACCATTGAGTCTGTTGCCTAGAGCTGGCTTTTGGAGTGGGAATGGGAATGAGACTCACAGACTGAGGAGGAGGTAAAAAGGGAGATGACAGAAAGGCAATCAGAGCCCTTTGGGGGCTACTTAGCACGTCAGTTGTTTCTCCTTAATCCATCAAAAACATTTATCGTAAGGCTGTCACACCTGTATGCCACCAACCAGCAGATTGTTCCACAATGATCATCATAATGCCCAGGGGAACCAACCCTTTCACTGTTGGAGAATTAAGGGAAGAGAACCCACACTGAACCAGGACTGCTGGGCCTGACACCCTGCAAAGGGCTTTAGGTGGTGATCTCACTGGTTCTCCCAATAAGCCTGAGAGGTCAGCTTGTCACCTCCAGGTGTAGGTGACAGTAAGCCACATTGGCCCTGAGCCAGAGACAGCTCTAGTCTGGCATACAGGTGGGCCTGTGCTGGCACTGAGGACAACACAGATACTCAGGATTTTGCTGAAGGAGCGGCTCCCTGGTGGCCCAGGGGCTAAGTATCAGGGTTATCAAGCTATCACCAGCCACTGCAGCATGAGTTCAATCCCTGGCCAGGAAGCTGACCCCCAGGGCTCAGCAGACCTCTCCTGACTTGTCCCCTGCTCCCCTCAACAGAATATCTCAGTCACTTTGCCTGTTCTGTTCCCCGTTGTTCCTGGGAAATCCTCTAATGCCCTGTACCTCTGGCCTACACCCCAGTTCTTAAATCCATACATAAAAATAAATTGTTTTGTTTTGTTTTTAAATTTGCTGAAGGAATAAATAAATGAAAAAGCCGAAGCTCTGAAAACACTAGTAGTGGGTCTGTCTCAAGGGCTGGGCTCTTCCCGGTAGCCAGTGACTACCACCCTTCTGGGGGACAGCCTCGCAACAGAAATCTCTGTCCATGGCCCCCTCTCCCCTCCCCTGCACTGCTTCCTTGCCCTCCCCATGCCTACTCACCGAAGGGCAAGGGAGGCAAGGGACAGGGACCCCATTTTTCTCGGGGCTGCTTTTCTTCTCAGCCATGGTGCACAGCCCATTTTGCACAGCCCTGAACAGCATGAGGTTCAGGTCTCCATACTCTCCAGAGGCCACCTCAATAACTGGGCACACAGAGAGGACCGCTCAGTTAAGAGCTACCCTTGATTCCCACAAGCCAGCCAGCCCCTCCCAGGGATGTGGGGAAGGCAGGCAGGTGACAGTGTGGGCTCCACCCCCAGAGCGTCCTCGTGCATGACCTCTGCCCATCATATCCTGGCCCCCACTCACTGAAGTCAGCAGGGTTGTGGTAGGTGGGGCAATGCAAGCCGAGCCCCTTCAGATAGGGGATTAGGTTGGTGACCACACCCTTGAAGATGCACTGGCCCTGGCTCAGGATGTAGAGCTGAGGTGGGGAGAGAAGGGTAAGGAAAATGTGGCTAGTGGGCCAGGCACCCTTTCCCTCTTCCCACTGCAGGCCCCCTCCCTCATCAAGGCCCAGAGACACTCACCTTGTCAAACATCTCAAAAAGCTTGGCACTGGGCTGGTGGATGGTGCAGATGATGGTACGACCACCCTGGGCCAGAGACTTCATGAGGGATACCACTTGGAAACAGGAGGCACTATCCAGACCACTGTCCAGAGAGAGCCCCCCAGGGGCAGGGTGAGGTAGGTGGAGCCCAAAGAGAGAGTGTCTGGTGGGGCAGCTGCTGTGAAGGGGATGGAGCTGTCGGGAAGGGGCTGCTCTGGCCAAGCTTATATCCTGTACACACTGTCTGACGCAGACCTTTGAGGTACCTCAAAGTTGAGCTTCACAAGTGTATACTGAGCACCTGTTGAATGCCAGGCACTGGAATTACAATGATAAATAACTAAGACATAAACCTTGGCCTGGAAGGAGAGGGAGAGAAAGATACACCAGTCATCTGTGATTATGTGGAACGTGTTATAGAAACGTCCTGGTTCTCTAGGAATGGGGAAAGGAAAAAAGGTAGGATGAAGCTCTGCTGTACAGGGTGGTGGAGTTGGGGTGGTCAGGGAAATTTCCTGAGTGAACCTTAAGAAAGAGCTAATTCTGCTAAGAGCTAAGGGCAGGTGTGGTGGTGAAGGGCATTCCAGGCAGAAGACACAGCGTGTGCAAAGCTTAGAGGCATGAAACACATGGCATGAGTGGGGAGTCAGAAGCAATTCAGTATTATTAGAGCATAAAATACAGGCAGCATGAAGCAAGTGAGAGGCTGGAGAAGTAGGTTCAGACCAAGACCTTGCTAAGTCCTCTGACTTTATTCTGAGGGCGAATGGGAATCATTGCACGTTTTTAAGCAGGGAGTGGTATTGCCAGACTTGTCTTTTAGAAAGTTCACTCTGGCTGCAGTTTGGAAGAAGGATGGGTTGGGAAAGGCTGGAGATGAGTTGCTAAGAGTCTGTAGCAGACATGCAGACAAGAATTGATGATGTCAGCTTAGACAATATTGTAAACTAATGTTACCTCAATTAAAAAAAAAAAAAAGCTGATGATGTCCTGAGCCCCAGTACTGGCATTAGGGGTGGGGATAGGACCAATCTGAGAGACAGCAAAGGGAGGTGGACTCAGCAGGACTTGGTGACTGATTGGCTGTGGGGGAGAGAAGGAGTGGGAGGTGTCAGTCAAGGAGGACGTAAGGATTTCTACCTGCCTGGTGAAGGACAGGGCTGCTACAGGGCAACAGGATTGGCAGGGGTGGAGATGAGGAGGAACCCCTTAGCTTGGCCCCCTGGCTCTGGGCTCCAGCAGTGGAGCTGGTACAGCCTCCAGCCTGGGCTCAGGCTGAGAGAAGGGGCATCCTGGTAGCGAGAAGCAGGAGAACTACCTGGTGGGCTCGTCAAAGAACATGACAGGCGGGTTGTTGACCAGTTCCAGGGCGATGGCCAGGCGCTTCCTCTGCCCGCCAGAGAGCAGGGCTGTCCTCGTGTGGGAGCAGGACATCAGGCCCAGGGCTGTGAGGATCTCGGTTACCTGGTGCAGCCCCCCAGCCCCCCAGGTCAGTTTTAGAGTCTCCTCTTCTCCAGCACTACCTCAATTTAAAAAGCATCTCCTTGGGCCCTCCCTGGTGGCGCAAGGGGTTAAAGCACAGCACTAGGAAGCTATCCGCAGCCACTGTAGCATGAGTTCGATCCCCAGCCAGGAGGTGATCCACATGGCGCAACAGACCTCTCCTGTCTCCCTCCCTGCTCCCCCTCAGCTGTGTATTTCAGTCAATCTGCCTGTTCTGCTCCCCACTCGTCTCTGGTGAATTTTCCCAGCCAGTACCCCAGTTCTTGTATGCATAAATAAAATAAATCTTAAAAAAAAAAAAAAAAGGAATCGCCTTTAAGTCCATTGTCCCAGCATTGTCCATCACCCACCTACCCTCTTGGAGTCCCAGAACCCAGAAACACCAAAAGTGGGGGCTGTCCCATGCCCTCCCCTCCACTTCCCCACATACCAACTCCTTCTTCACTTCTTGCTTCTCACTCAGCTTCAGGTTAGCAGAGACCTAGAGCCCAAAGAGTAGACAGGTCAGCTAGGTGGACAGGTAGCAGGCGGGGGGAGGCCGGCCTTAACCCCTTAGCCAGTGAGAGAGATTGAGATCACAGAAGGCAGCTGGGACCAGGAAGCCTCACCATCATGGCTTCTAGCACTGTGAGGTGTGGCAGCAGCATGTCGTCCTGCATGATGTAACAGGACATCTTGCGGAAGGTCCTCAGTTCCCGTGGCCTCCCGTTGACCAGGATCTGCCCTTTCATCCCAGATTCCCTGCAGGAACATTGGTGGGGGCTGGGAGTCAAGGCCACTTCAGAACCTTCTGTGCTCCCTTGGGGATTCTCGTTCCTGGATCCTCCCTCCACTCACCCCCAATGTCCTCCTTACCTGTATCCTGCCAAGATGTTCATGAATGTTGACTTTCCAGCCCCTGAGGGGCCCATGATGCCAATAAGCTCCCGGCGGCAGAATTTACCCGATAGGCACTTAAGGAGAGTCTTATAACCTATAGTAAGAAAGGGAGGAATTTTTGATCAGGGCTGTAGTGAACAGGCACCAAGAACTCTTGGGAAGAGACAGGCGATCCATGAAGTGGGCAATCTCTACTCATTGTGAACTGGATAGGATGGCAAACAACCTTCAGATCCCCAGGCCCTCTCATCCTGGTCCCCTAGAATAGTCACTAGTTGCAAAGTACCAGAGGTGACAATACAACCCTTGCATCTCATAGATGGGCATGGAGAGTGGGTCACAGTCACTGAAGGTCCTGTTTGTCTTCTAGAAACTCAGTGATCACTCTCTCACCTCCTCCAGGAAGACTTCCCCAGTGATCCAGCAGAGCTGGCTGACTGTCCTCTGTTCCCAGGATATGTCTCAACTGTCAGCATTTGGTTACTTGGGGTGCCTGTCCCTTGCTTCACACCCCCAGCCTCTAAGTCAGTGAGCTTCCTGGGGGCAGGGTCTGCCACTCATCTTGTAACCTCAGCAGGCTGCCTGGATGGACCAGATGCTAGCTGTTAGAAGCTAACAGCTTCTTCTCAGAGCTATTGCCTCATTCTGAAAAGACCTCCTTTGTGCTCTCTCTGACCACCAAGCTTATCTCTGTAGCCCTAACAGGCCCCAAATCTCACCTTCCATTCATTCACTGGAAGACATTAAGAGCCTTTCAAGTCAAGTGGATCTAGATTCAAATCTGACTTTACATTTATGAGTTATGTGACTTCTGGCATGTTGTCTAATCTCTCTAAACTCCAGGCATCTGTAAAATGAGGACGATAGTACCTATCTCATAAGGTTGTTACAAAGATTTTTTTTTTAAGATTTATTTATTTGTGCATACAGAACTGGGGTACAGGCCAGAGGCTTAGGGATGGTGAGAGGCTACACCAGAGACACAGTGGGGAGCAGAACAGGCAGATAGACGAAGCACACTGCTGAGGGGAGCAGCGGGCAGGTCAGGAGAGGTCTGCCACACCATGTGGTCACCTCTGGGGCAGGCAGGAATCGAACTCATGGGGAAGGGCTTTAGCTTCTTAGTGCTGTGCTTTAACCTGCTGTGCCACCAGAGAGGGCCTAAGGTTGTTACAAAGATTTAATGAGATAATATATGTAAAGTGTATGACAGTGCTTGGCACATAGTATGAATTATTTTAAAGATATTGTAATTCCATTTGACAAATTCTTACTGAGATCTACTATATTCCAAGCTATGTACTGGACACTGGACCCAAAAAATGAAGAAGACAAAGTTCTTGCACTCAAGAAGGTCACAGTCTAGGTAAGAAAGATGAACAAATAAACATCTATGGCTCTGAAGAAAAAAAATAAGGGTTCAGAGTACAAATCATGCACAATGAGAATGTTGCAAATGAACGGGTGAGAGAAAAATCAGGAATGACTTCATGGAAGAGGTGACATATGAGCCAAGTCTGGAAAGAGGAACAACATTTCAAATGAAAGAGAAAAGGCAGAGGCTCTCCAGGTTTTGGGAGGAAAATCTCTGTTCTATAAGAACATGTATGCAGTGTGATTCAGAGAGCAGAGGGCAGAAGCTGCTTGGAGTTACCTGGAAAGATGGGTCGAAAGGAACGATGAAGCCAAGGGTCTGGCTGCTATGCTTACAGCTCTACCTCAATGAGGTTTCCACAGCACCAACCCTGACTACCACTCTACTGACCCCCACAAAGACAGCCCAATTCCCTCCTCGCTCTACCACCTTAGCAGACACAGCAAAGAGCTGTGACCTTTAACCCTCTCTCCACAGTGCCAGCTGTCCTGGGCAGATCCATAGAGGGTCCCAATCACACCAGATTTCTGGATAGTGCTTGACAGTGTATAAAGCTTGTTATCTCAGTTGCAGCTATAGCAATATCAGGCAACGAGGGTCCAGAGACATCTAGTAACTCACCCAAGGTCACAAAGCACGTTCTAAACTGATAGAGGGGAAGTTATGGATTCCGCCCATCTGCCCCAGTCATCATCATCATCATCATCATTATCATCATCATCATCATCATCATCATCACCATTAATCAGAAAGCAAATATCTTTCAGAGACACTCACATGAAGTGATTTCTTGTACAGAGGAAGTAATTGGAAATGATCACCCTCTCTTCATTTAATCACAACCAAGTACTACATTGAACACAACATGGATGCAGAATACAAAAATCATCTTATACTTTGTCTTGCACAAAGTACTGTCACAGATAATCTCTCATGTGAGCTTCTCACCCCTTAGAGAGCCCCATTCTCATCATCCTGCATAGCACCCCTGCTTATAGATGAGGAAAGTGAGGTCAAGAGAGTAAGCATCCTGCCCTGGCTACACAGCTGACAAGTAGCAGGAAGCCAAGTCTTTGGGCTCCTGCTGCACCACAACTGTTCAGCATGGGAAGGCCTGCCGAGCCTGGGGGTTGGGAAGACATCAAAGGTCTAGTCTAGCTCATCAGTAACTGCAAATTTGTCACTTAACCTTCGAAGGTTTCCGTTTGGTCATCTATAAAATAAGAATAGTAATATTGGGCCTTCCCTGGTGGCCAACAGATTAAAGCGCAACACTATGGAGCTATCCATGGCCACTGCAGCACAAGTTTGATCCCCCCCACCAGGGAGCTGACCCACATGGCACTGCAGAGCTCTCCTGACTTGCCTGCTGTTTCCCCAGCAGTGGATTTCACTGGATCTGCCTGTTCAGCTCCCCAATCTGCTTCAGGTGAATCCTCTTACCCCCATACCTCTGGCCTGTATCCCAGTTCATGTATGCATAAATAAATTTTTTAAATCATTTTTAGAAAAGAATAGTAATATCTCTTCCCAAGGACATAATAGGGTTATTGTGAATATTAAGTGAGGTAATTAATAATAATCAATAGGAAAGTTTTTGGGAAAAAAAACATGACATTTGAAGCAATGTCACACATAATTAGAGAGACTAGTGGCAAAATGTCACCTGGGGAAAGCAGAAATCACTCTCCCTTTCTCCACAACCTTTGTCTTTTTTCTCCTCTGTCTACTTTGTGTTGTTTTTCTGTTCTCCATAAGTGAAGAGAATTCAGAGAGAGGAGGCAGAGGGCAGAGAACGGGGTGAGGGACAGAAGAGACAGTAAAATGGACAAGAGAGCAGAATGGGGCTGGCAAGGTCAAAAGGAAGGAAGGACCTGGTCAGAGGTGCCAATTTGTGGTTGGTGAGTTGAGATAACCTGCGAGCTGACCCACCTAGCCACATTTCTTTTTTCTTCATTTATTCTTAAAACTGTGGAACTGAGAGGGCTAATGAGATGACAGCCAGCTACTGCCTCATTTTGCTCAGAGCTGGCCTCAAGGCTGAGAGATGCATAAGGGTAAAGCACTGGGCAGGGAGCCCAGATGCCTCAGTTTCCATTGGCAGAGGCCCTGCAACCTTTTGGTCATTTATGGGAGGGAAGGAGGGGAATGCAGAAACAGCTCATGCTCAAGCTTGCTGGGAAGCACCCCAAACTTATTTCTTAAACCTCAGACAACAATGTCCCAGCTCCACCCCAAACCCACACCCAGGTTCTGGGAAAAAACACACCTTCCCTATTCCAGGCTCAAGCTGCCCAAGGCAAGAGGGCAGGGGAAATACATTCAAAGGAACTGAGAGCCCAGTTCTTCACTACCTAAAGGGGAAAACCGCCTGGGACCTCCTGTCCGGTATTGGAGAGAGAAAAAAGAACATGTGGTGAGCTGGCGGATCTGGCTCTCAGTACCAGCTCGGCCACTCATTAACTGGGTTACACTAGTCAAGTTACTCAACCTCTCAGAGCCTCAGTTTCCTTACTAACGTCGGATGTCAGCTATCTAGCCAAACCTTCATCCTCCCTGGTTCTGAGGACTTCGGCAAAAATGAAGTAACATGACAGGAATGAGAACATCTTTCAAAATGAGCAGTTTTTGTTGTTTTGTTTTGTTTTTAGGTACAAGTATGTTCTTAAACACTGAGGGGAACCCCTGTAAATGCAGATCCCCACTTTGCCATAGTAGCCACTTTCGCGAAGGCAGGAATCCTACCTGAAATAAAGAAGGAAAACTTAAGGACCAGAGGTCATTAGAAGAGAAAAGCCTCAGTAATCAATGGAATCTGGTGTCCCCAGTCCTCATGGTTGTGGAGGGGAGAGTAGACCCCAGCACTTCAACTGGGGCAGAGAGTGAGGGGTTGAACAGAAAAGGGGAACCCCCAGGCCTAATGTTCCAGAAAAGGCAACTCATGAGGGGGGCACAGTTCCCCACCAGGTTGCTCCCTACCCCGTTTGCGCCAGCAGGGCCCCTCCCGCACGGAATAGGACAGTTCCACGAACTCGATGTCCACAGATGAGCGCTTGGGTAGATGGGAGAAGCGCTGGGCTTCTGTGATGTGGTTCTCCACCTTCTTCAGGTGCGCGGTCAGCATAGGGGGCTCCGCCCCGTCCTCCAGCGCCACGGCCATAGCCACAGGCCCGGGTCCTAGTCCACAACCCACGGCCTCCAGCGCCTTCTCCGCCATCGCACCACCGCCTGCAGGGAGAAGGCCTGCTCAGCCAGACCCCCCAGCCCCGTCTTGAAGCTCCCCTGCTTTCTAATGCTGCCCCCGCCTCCACCCCACCTCCTCCTCAGGGCAGCTTCGCTACTGGGAGCACCCCACTTCCCACCGCCCAGAGCGTCAGTCCACTCTCGCCCTCACCCCCGGGGCAGAAAAGCTCATCCCGCCCCCCCCCGCCCCCCCCAGTCCCGGGCAGTCCCAGCTCCAGGTTGGCCCCAGCCGGGTCCTAGAAATCCTCCCTGCTCCCTGCTGCGACTATAATCTCCTTACCCCGCAGACCAGCAGCCCCTAGGGACTGAAAGGTTGGGGGGCAGGGAGGATGGACGAGGGAACCAGCGGAGGCTGCCCGCAAGGAGGTCCGGATGGCAGGGCGAGCGCAGGGCGAGCGCAGGGTGAACGCCGGAAAGCGGAGGAAGAGGAGGCTCTGGGCCTGCAGCTGCGTCCCCGCGCCCCATCCCCTAGCGCTGTGCTCTGTCCGGCCCCTCCCGAAGTCCTCCCCCTCCACCCCTTGAGCTAGAGCACGCTGGGCTCTCCCCAAAGACAGGAGCATCACCCGGACTAAAGCCCCAATGCCAACTAAGCCGCGCAGGCGGACTCACCCCCCTGCCCATCTCCTGCCTGCCTAGTCACCTTGACGTGCCCCCAGGGCCGGTGCGGGGCCGGGATGCTCAGCGCTGCTCCCACCGGGATGAAGGCGCCGGGCCTTCTCACCTGCCTCTGGCCGCAGCACCGCGTCCCGGCTCCCGGTCCCGGCGGCCAGGGCCGGGGCGGGGCCGGGCCCCTGCCCACCTCACCTTGAAGGTGATCTTCACTCTGTAGTCAACCCCTTCCTTCAGAACGAACACCCCACTCTTCAGCGCGGCCAGGCCCCCTGCTGGAGAGGGGCCGCTGAGCATGGGCCAGCCCTGGAGCCCGGACCCTGCGTGGTCCACCCCAAAGGCCAGTTTATGGCTTGGGGGCCACCTGGGACCCAGAAGTCACCTGTGAGGTCCATGGTGATGGGCCCTGGAGCCTGCTCCGACATCAGCGTCAGCCTGGTCACCTGCACGTTGGGCAGGCTGGGGTCTGGGGAGAGACCGGAAGTGGACAGGGCGCCACCCCACCGCACTGGCCGCCCTGGCGCCCCCAGGGACCCGGGCCTACCCACGGCGGGCGGCAGGGGCCCCAGCAGGGCCCGCTTGTACTTGACCAGGCTCTCGTCGTTTGGGTCCAGCTGCTGGATCTCCAGGAGGCTCTTCCTGCCCGGCGCCCGGTACTCCGGCACGGCCTCGTCCAGGGCCTCGTCCGGTGGCAGCTGCCCCCCGTCCTTGCTGGTCAGGAGGACTGGGGCAGATGGGGTGTCTGAGTCCCGGTGGGGGCTCAGGGCGGGCAGGGAGGGGCTGGGCAGGTGTGGGCTGGGGGGTATGTGGAGGGGGAGGTGCAGGGCGGCAGCCACAGCACACCTGGGGAGCCCCGTGCAGGAGGACTGCTAAGGGGGGGGGCACTGCCATCCCCCAGCCCTGCCCACCGGGGTTCCCCTGACTCTGAAGCCAAAGATGGGGAGAAGGCCCCAGGTGGGGGCACCGCCGAGGACTGCAGCCCCCACTGTGCAGCAGTAACCTCCGAGCCCCCCCCCGGAGCTAGGTAGGGCCTCTGCTCTGTGCCCCCAAGATGCCCCAGTGCAGCTGGGCTCGCCTCCCTGCTGGGCTGGTGTTGGCCAGCCCGCCCTGTGCCAGGGGCCCTGCAGCGCCCGCCCCCTGGGTCTTTACCCCCCTAGCTGTGCTGGGGGCTCCTCCAGGGCCTTTAGCCCTTCCTAGGTGCTTGGGGCAGGGGTCTCACCCCTCCCGGCCCCAGGCCAGGGGTGCATCTTTCTGAGTACCTGCCCGGTGGGGTCTCCCAGGATCTTCTGAGGCCTGGTGAGAGCCACAGCCCCACCCCCACCCCAGGGACGGGGGCCTCAGGGCAGGTTCCCAGGGGAGCAGACCTGCCACCGGCTTCCCAAGCAGACCACCACCTCTCAACTCCCTTCCCCATGAGTGTCCAGCTGGATGAGACCCCTCCCCTCTGACTGCCACAGACCCCAGACGACGCCCCGAGGCCCCTCCGGAGTTCCGCGGCGGGGCCGCCTCTGCCC